TACCGGGGTTGTACTCTGGGGCGGTGTCAGTGTGTGCTCGTACCGGGGCTGTGCTCTGGGTGTGCTGGTACCGGGGGTGTTCTCTGGGGCGGTGTCTGGGTGTGCTGGTACCGGGGGTGTTCTCTGGGGCGGTGTCTGGGTGTGCTGGTACCGGGGCGTTCGGTGCCCACCCGCTCGCTTCCTCTGTAGGATCTCTCCGTTTTCCTTGGAGTGGTGTGTGAGGAACCCAGCTTGGCACAGTGGTGCTTCCAGCAAGCACTTTGCCTCTTGCAGATCTGGAGCTCTTGTTCCCGAGACAGAACCGAGGCATCCCGGCGTGGGGCAGGAGCCTGATGTAACCACCCCGCCTGCCCGGAAAACCGACCTGAGCTGAGGGATTATGTTCGGACAAGCTGGGTTTTGGCTATAATGAACTAGAACAGCCCAGCTCTGTCAGAAGGACTGGTGTTGCCTTGTGTGTGCAACAGAGAGCAAGTACAATAATCCTAAACTGGAATGTGTGTATGGGGAAGAGCAGGAAAAACTAAGTCTTGACGTAAATCTGCTCTTGTGAGCTGTCTGTATCCTTCCAAACAATGTATTAAACCAGCTCAGAAGAAGGCAACCCCACGCTATTTACAGCATCTCCCTGTTAACAACTTACAGCGCCACTGGCTTTACAAAGTTAAGTGTTTGCTCCAAGGCTGAGTTTGGTTTGGACATACCACTGGCAATTGGGAGAGATGAGGGGTTTGTGATCCCTGAGAGTAGAACAAATTCTTAAAGGAATTTTTCCTCCCTCTGTCTGTTGTCATAGTAGTTGAGATCTATCAGCTGCTACTTCCACAGGTATTTCCTCTGAGGTGCTCATATTCCTTCATTACCTCTTCCTGAACTTTGGGCTTACAGATTTGTCCCCTCCTTTCCCAGGAGTGTCTGGGATTTATGAAGTCAGCCTCTAGCTTAGCCAACTGCCCTTTGCTTAGGTTTGTCTTCAGTTAATAGGAGAGAGGTTCCTTCAGACACTGAGTGAAACATTCACATCTAACTTTCTAATCTTCATCTGGTGGGGTCACTCTTGCTTCACTGAATACAAGAATTTAAAGGGATGAGCAGGCTAATTCACCCTGGTAACTAAAGTTAGCAGTAAAAATGCTTTCTTAGAGACCCAGTATTTGATTCCCTCATCTTCTCTCAATGAGGGATGAAGGACTGAAATACACCATGCACCCATCAGTGCTACCACCCAACCCTGCAGTCGAAGCACCAGGGTAATTCTGTCAATGAATTTTCTTTGGAAGATTTTTAGCTTTTTCAGAACTCAGGGCAAATAGGCTTTTTTCCTTTCCATGAAAGCTTACTTTCACAATTTCCAGCTCCTAGCCCAGTTCTCTCTATTGTTCCTATATGGCATAGGAACCTGTGGGCCCTGCTGAATGTGATCCTTGGTACAGAAGGGAGGGAAGGCCACGTGTGCACTTTGCTGAACTTCATGCTGGCTCCAGTGGCTGCAAGCTGCCCTGAGGGCCATCCCCTTTCAGGCTTACTGAGGAGAATGAAGACATTCCTGTGCTCAGTTACCCACCTGAGTCTGTGCTGGAGCTTCTCCCTGTCTGCAGAGGGAAAGCAAGCCTGTACCTTGGCTGCTCCATCCTGTAGTCAATTTGAATTTAACACGAAAAGAAGCCTACACAAGGATGCTAAAGTGGAAGCCAGACTTTCTACAGGGCAAGTATTCCAGAAGAGATGTGCCCCAAAACTCAGGACAGCAGTGTCTTAATACACTGAAGCTGGACATGGGTCAAAGCCCTGGCCTATGCTGAATCAAACTGTTCTTTAAACCATCTGTTTTGTGCTAATATAAAACTCTTTGGTTGGAAGTACAAAGCTGCCTGAGGTCTTTAAAGGTGCTTAAAGTTTTAAAGGTGCTTAAAATGAGCTATCTTTGCTTGCAGCTAATAAAACTTCCTGAGCTTTCATTCTCAGTGCCTATGCCATGACAAAAACTTCAAGGGAAAATACTTGGTTTTGCTAACTGGGTGCCCGACACCATTCAAGACTGTGGCTAAGATTAAAAGTCTAAAGTGAATCACATAGTTCAACAGTCACAGGAAAATGTGTGCAAGTCCTGCAATAAAGCCTTTTGGCTATTTTATTTTATTCTACAAATAAAGACAACTGTCCATCATTAAATGGAAAAAAATAATAGTTTGAGTTGTATATAGCATGAAACAGTAGTTCCCTTCACAAAAACATTTCTAATTCATTAGTTTATTACAAAATACCCACTCACAAAAAAACACAAGCACAATCTTTATACTTGTGAAATGAGTTGATATTTCATATACAAAATAATTTCCACATAATTCCATATAATTTTATTTTATATAGAAATAGGTCATTATTACAACAGCTGTACAATACACTACTTTTTATTTAATAATTACATAAAATCTTTCTTAGAAACATATCAACGGAAAACATACAAAAAAAGCGAAAAGTGCATTTTCTTTTGTTTTTTTCCCTCCAAAGGAAAATTTAATCCTAAATGTTATAATGAAAGAGATATGTAATAGTCTGCAGCATCCCAAGTCAGTGGGCCAAAACACAGTGCATATTTCTCAGAGACTTGGAGTGGGTGAGTTTAGGTTGAAGAAGGATTCATGTTGTACTACCGAAGAATTGCATGATTGTGCTTACAATTTGAGTTCTCATTTGCAATCACAATTCATGTAGGAAACAGTCCAGTGTGGGTTGTGGGTTTGGTTTTTTTTGGTTGGTTTGTTTTTAGTAATGAAAAACAGTTAGGGTAAGCTGCATAATACTTTTCAGATTCTAAATCAAGGGTTATGAGCTGTAGACCATCTTCACCAATGGCTGGGCTTTTTCCTCCATTGGATGTGCTAATTTGGCCACAAGAATAAAGAAACAAACTTCTCTTTACAGAAAGTGCCTAGTTTTCTCATCTGTGCAGTTGTGCAAAATAATAACAATAATCATAATAAAAATAATCTCTTGTTCTCTCCTCGATAGACCTTTGACGCAGTGCTTTTCATACACAAAAGAAGAACTGAAACAGTGAAGGCCAAGTACCTCACGAGTCTGTTGACAGTCTTTTGGAATTGCCTGATGGCTTCCAGGGTGACACGGCGCGACTGACGGCCTCTTCCCGTGCTCCCAGCGGTGATGGAGGCTGCACAGGATAGTGCCCCTCGTGACTCTGCTCTGTCAGTACATCCTGTGCTCTCAACACAGCGCCAACGGGAATGCGCTGTCCGTGGCAGTCTGCACTCTGGGCGTACTTCTGTCACAGAGCTTGGAAAGAAATGCTTGTGCAAAAGCCAGAACAGTAAGTACAAAGTCATTCTCTTCTGCCCCATGTGCCCATTGGTTAAAGCTAATCGTGCATTGATTGTGCTGGTGGGACTCTATCGCAGTGGCTGTGGTAAATTTGATGATTCTGATAAACTATTCCTTCTTCTTGATGTTAGCTGTTGCTGTTGTTGCTGCTGCTGTGTCTGATGATACCCCATATTTCCTTGCTGTGGCGAGTAAGATGGCAGGAGCAAAGAATCGGGTTGTTCATTGTGCAAAGAACTTGGTGTTTGCACCTAGAGATAAAATAAAATTTATTGTGGGGTTTGATTCTTTCACGCGTTAATGCTCTTTGTTCTCAGGTTACAGGATGCTTAAAAATACTACTGGTTTGCTGGCTTCTATTTCTGGAGCTGTTTGGCATGAGGGTAGCTTAACTAATGCTAGAAGGAATGGACATAAATTGCAACAAAGAACGTTGAAATGGTTTTCTCACAGTAATGCGCTGCCTGGGATGTGCAGGTTATCCTGAAAAACCTGTTTGGGAACCGTGTGGGTGAACACGGCAGAAATGACATGGATGGATGGAATAAATGAAACAGCATTTTCTAATGTGCCTCATGCTGTCCCTTCTAGCCCTTCCTTTTCCTGAGCTTACAGTTGGGTGTGACCTTGCAGTGTTGAAGCTGATGTGAATTTTGCAGATGCTTTATTGGAAACAGTATCTGCCAGACTTTTTTCATTAATTCTCAGGCTATGATAAGGATTTCATTTCAATAACAAGAATTTAATAATTTAAGTTGGTTATACTCTTTTGGTGATGCCAGTGAATATGTGACCAGGTTTCAAAGACTCAGTTCAGCTCCTGTTGAACTAATACAGACACAACTCATTTCCTCCCTTTATTTTAGAATGTGTTGAATTAGGTCAAAAATAAGTATTTTTACATATTCAAATCACCTGGTTCTTCCAGGCAACGTGCTCCACTTTATCTTCTTTGCCTTGTGGAGTTGAGAAAATATGTTCGTTTCCTGAAGGGATCCAGATATCTGATCCAGATCTATTTTATGTTGATGCTGGTAATTAAAAATCATCTTTTGACTTGTAAACTAAGCAAATTTTGTACTGAATAAAGAGAACAGAACAAATCCTAAGGCACTGATATTCTCCAGCTGGAAATAAACTTTAAATATATCCAAGATAATCTGATTATGCTTTAAATGTACAGAATTAGTAATTTCACAGAAAATCACAGAAATTCTAGGCTGGAAGAGACCTGTAAGATCATCAAGTCCAACCCATGTTCTAACACTTCAACTAGATCATGGCACCAAGTGCCACATCCAGTCTTTTTTTAAACTCTTCAAGGGATGATGACTCCACCACCTCCCTGGGTAGATGATTCCAGTATTTGACCACTCTTTCTGTAAAATACTTCCTCCTTAATTCTAGCCTGTATCTCCCTTGGTGCAGCTTGAGACTGTGTCCTCTTGTTCTGTCTGTTGTTGCCCGGAGAAAGAGACCGACCCCCAGCTCACCACAGCCACCCTTCAAGAAGTTGAAGAGAGTGATAAGGTCACCCCTAAGTCTCCTTTTCTCCATTTTGCTTTTAAATATTCTGATTGTTCCCACTGCTCCCTTGCTGTACTAGTACCGGCCACTGTAGCAGTGTGTCACACGTCAGAATCTCTTGAATGGACATTTCTGCCAGGATCAGGCTCCAGCAGAAACCTGGGGCCCCATTTGCACAGCCCACTCACCTTGTTCCTCTGTGTGCACACTTTACACATCATCCTCTTTGTCCTACCTGCAGGTAGCGTTGCTGCTGATGCTGTTGGTGCTGGAGTTGCATAGGTGGCAAAGAGGATGGCTGGGAAGGAGGGGTAGTGGTGAACCCTTGGTTTAACACTGCTTGTCCCATCAGTACGATTGGAGAGCTGCTGCTGGAAGTCTGCACTTCCAAACTTTGAAACATTTGTTGGGTTTGAGAATACCTATGGAAGAAAAAAGCAAAACAATCAAGAACAAAGTGTTGGAAACAAAGGTCTTCTCTTAGAAGGGGGATGGCAATCCCTAGTCTTCCTAAATCATAGAATCACAGCATGCTGACCTTAAAGACTGTCTAGTGCCAACCTGCCTCCCGTGGGCAGTGACATCTTCCACTAGATCAGGTTGCTCAGAGCCCCATCCACCAACCTGGCTTTGAACACTTACAGGCATAGGGCATCCACCACTTCTCTGGGCAACCTGTTTCAGTGCCTCACCACCCTCACAGTAAAGAATTTCTTCCTAATATCTAATCCAAACCTGCCCTCTTTCAGTTTAAATTCACTAACTTTTGTCCTATTCCTATATGCTCTTGTAAAAAGTCCCTCCCCTTCTTTCTTGTAGCCCCTTTTAGATAGTGGAAGGCTGCTGTAAGGTCCCGCCATGCCTTCTCTTCTTCCGCCTAAACCCCCCAGATAATTCCCAATAAATGATTCCAGTGCATGGGACCTGCTAATATGAACAACAGCACTACAAGCAGCACTGCTTTCCCTTACTCTGTGCATGAGCTGGGCTTGGAGGGAAGAATACATCGCACCTCAAAATCCAGATCACATTTTAGATTCATTAAGGATTCTGGTTTATGCACATCTTGTCTTCAGCCACAGCATTCACATCCCCAGCTCATTAAACCAAATTTTGATTCTGTTTTAATATGGTGAGCCCTGACCTGCAGCAAGAGAGAAGCCAATGCACCTCCTGTCCTGCTGCCTGTGCTCCCCTGTGGGGGTGGTGATCTCCTGCAGACACAAGGCTAGGGTTGATTACTTTCTGAGCTGCTCATACGCATATTGCCACACATCAGCAGTTCCCATCACCATGAGCCCCACTCTAGGAACAGAAGAAGCCTCTAGAAACCCTCTGGAACGAGGGATGTGACAGAACCAAAATACTCATCTCCTCTTGCCATTCTGCTTTTGCAAAGCAAAGCTTAAATATGTGTTGTTTTGTGGAAGGCTGTGGGCAAAACCACAATGGAACTATTGCCAACCCAGCCTGATTCTGTTTATCCTGTAAAGGGTGATGAGATCATAGTGTGGCTTGTGTTCACTCAACAGCTGTTCAACATTAGGGTTTAGCTAGAAATGCTACAGTCTGGGTACTTGTATGAGGATGGGAGCTCCTATAAAGGAGTCCCATGAGTCAAGTCTACATGAACAGGGAGATGCATCTTTGCAAATAAGGCCTCTTTTTTTCAGAGGCTTAAAGCAGAGCTACAATATTTACATTTGACAAATTAACTCAAGATAATTTTAAACAACAATAATGATGTCTTAAAAAAACCAAGTACTGAATACGTACATTCCTGAGATAACATTAGAAGAGTACTGTTTTGTAAAAATAATTATTTTTAAAGGAATGATGTGCAAACAGTTGCTTACTATTTTATCAGTTCACAATTAAGTACAGTGACAAAAAACAGCGTAAAAAAGGGTATATTTTAACCAGTGTGTTCTGCCTCCTTCATCTAAGTTTTGAGGAGATAAAACAACTGAGGTGATGCTTTCTATTTTCACCAATCATTTAACTGAGCCAGTGCTGACTTTCTCACATTTACCTTTGGTGGGTCAGAAGTTCTAGTGCTGAAGCAGGCAGCATGTGAGGGACAACAATTCCCCCAGCCATGGCTTGTTAAAATGCCACTGGCACTTTGTGTTTCTCTCTGTCACTCTTCCTGATATGACCAGGCAGGATAAGGCTGACCCAGATGCTGGAAGGCAGGCTCAGCACAGTAACACACTCCCAATATTTATAACTACTTCATCATGTTACAAAAGAAGGCTACTTCCCCTCAAAAGCAACTTTGATGTTTTATCTTCGACAGGGCACGTACTTGGCCTGGGATCCCGTCATGCTGAGGTCTGAAGGGTGTCTTGCATTACAGGACCCAGGCATCATGGGCTGAATAGGCTGGCTAAGCAACAATCTGGCAAACGAGGGGAAAAAAAAGACATTGCTGGAAGAGAAGGACCATACAAATCCCACAGTGTGCAAAGAGAAGTGGCATTTTCACGGGCACGGCACCGGGCTGAGGAGTGCGAGGAGTTCTGTCCCAGCTGCCGGCTGTGGCAGGGGCGTCCCGGGCACCGCGAGGCGGAGGCTGGGGCAGCGCCTGCCCTCTGGGGCGGTCTGGGTGCCGGACATACGCCTCATAAATCACATTTTTTACCATTATTATCTGCTAGGTATATGGATGCTTGAATAATATTTTACAACTTCGATTTAATTCACCTTGTGCTCTTCAAAGCCAGCAGCAAGGTATCAGTTTTCATAACGCTATTGGGCGACACAGCTACAGTTTGGGAATTTTAATCCACCCGTGCATTCCCGCAGTCCCAAAGCCGGAGTGCCGCTGTTCCCTTGGGGCGGAGCTGTACGCCCAGCCCTCAGCCCCCGAACGCGGAGCCGGCCCGTACCTGAGCTGCTGGTCGTGGCTGCAGCCGGCGGGCGCGGGGGTGCCGCCGCGGGACAGGCCGCCAGGGGGCGCCGCGGGGCCGCCGCCGCCGCCTGAGGCGAACGGCGCGGGCGCGGGGCGGGGCGGGGCGCGGCCGCCGCCCGGCGCCAGCTCCGCGCTCCGCGCCGCCTTCGGGCCCTGCAAGAGAAGCGGAGAGAGCGGGGAGACAGCCCGGCTGCGGCACCAGTGCCTGGCGGTGCCGCCAGCCGGCTCCTGCCACCGAGCGCGAAACGACTGTCATGGCCACGGCTGCCCCGGGCCCGCTCCTGCCGGCCCGCAAACCTAAACGACCCCCCCAGTTAAGGCAGGCGCAAAGTGAAGTGTGAGGAGCTGCTGCCGAGCCCCGTGATAGCAAGAGATCAAAGAAAAAAAAAAAAGTGTTGTTTTTTCCCCCCGCTCCCCCATTTCACGGAATGACAGAACAGGTCAGGTTGGAAAGGACCGCAGTGGGACATTGGTCAGGCCTCCCTCCTCCAGTAGGGCCATCCCAGAGCACAGGCACAGGATCGTGTCCACAGGCACAGGGTCGTGACCAGACGGTGATTGAGAATCTCCAGCGAGGGAGACTCCACACCCTCTAGGGGCAACCTGTTCCAGTGCTCGGTCACTCGCACAGTGACAAAGTTCTTCCTTATATTCTGACGAAACTTTCTGGGCATCAGTTTCTGCCCCTTGCCCTGTATTTGCTATGCACTCTCTACTTTAATAGAGTCATTATAACACAGGAATGAAGGAGGTGAAATGCTACAGCTGTGGGCTCAGAAGACAATAATGGAAATATGCTTGCCACGTAATTGGGAAGCAGAGGAGCTCAGTTTTCTGTGAAGGGAGGTACAACAGGTGGGTGGAAGAGCAAACACTGGAAATGTTGAGAAACCAGCAGTATGAACGAACAATACAGTGCCAAACCTAATAGCTTTCACAGATCTCAGTTACTGCTCAGGCTGAACTTTATTTTGCTCTGCAGGAACCTGTTAACGTTGACAGCCTGAGGGTCTCAGAAGAATCTCAATGTATTCTGTGTGCCACCACAGCAGACAGGCTTTGTTGTGTTGGTGGTGTCCGACTGGGCTCAGGGAGCAAGTATTCTGAGAGGTCTCACATCACTATTTCAAGTTTCCAGTGGGATCAGTCAGGTTTCTTTCAGGACCAGTAAGTCACTGAAGACCAGTAAGTCACTGACACATTTTGCATGCCCCCCTGCTCCATTTTCAATCTGAAACAGCTGCTCAAGTAACCCTCCTGGCTGAGATCTTAAAAACAGGCTTTAAGGTAAGGTAAACGCTGTAGGGAAACCCTTTTTATATGCTGCCCTTTTACAGAAGCATAAGAAAGGGAAGGCAAAGGCATAGTTACAGGACTGACACGATTTTACTCGCTTGCTTAAGAACAGCTCAGTGTCTCCTGTCCATCTAAATGCTTCTCTGTTCAAAGAAATGATTACCTGGCTCGATATCACGCTTGCTTCTCTCAGTGACTGCTGGTTCGTTGTTTGTGAAGATGTGATTTGCCCTTGAAGTTGAGAACTGGGGACAAGCTGCTGCTGAGAAAGGGTCCCTGACCTCTGCTGTAGCTGTTGTGGGTCCAGCTGCTGAGTGTTGCTAAAGCTCAGGGACACTGTTGGCTGCTGTAAGATCATCTGGAAAAGAAGAAGGGAGGACTTGTTTACATAGCCCAGATGTTTTGAATAATGAATGTGACAGAAGTAAATCCAAAGATATATTCTAAAATAAAGTTACCACATTTCTGGAATCACAACACGTTTACCGTTAGTTGGAAATCAAATATCATTCCTGCATTAACAGCTCTATTGTCTCTAGTTTCTTGGTTTCTTGTTCTGCAAGTGCACCCATTACTTGTGAAATGTGTCTACAAGGTGCAAGTCCTCTCTCCATGGGGCAGGCACAACCCTCTTAAGAGCAGTTCCCAGTACATTCACTGTGTTCTGGGGCATCCTGACCAAAGAGAAGAGAGTAACTACATGTCTTTTCAGTCCTTTCAACAAAATCCACCTGCCTTTCAGACAGAACTATCTTTGGATTTGTCTCTGGAAATTCATCAGTTTACACCCAGCTGAGTTGTCAAATGTTTTTAATGAGGCCACAGTCAGGCCAGAGCTCTCCAAGCTGAATGGCTGTGTCCTTATCACTGACAGGATGTGTAAACAGACAGTCACTGTCATTTATCTGATTTCCCATCAGGTAACTGTCACCTGGTGTTCTTCCTAACTGTGCCATGCATTCCACTTGTGCAAAAGAGCTAGCAGCTCCTCTCTTAGTGTTTCTGTAAATGATGTCCTCTCTACTTTTGCATTTCAAGATGAAGCTTTCTTCTTTAAAAGTTACAGGACTTGGGAATTTTTGCTCTTCTAGGGGCTATTTCTTTTATTACAGCTGTAAAGAGGGAAAAGTAATATTTTAAAACAATGTATTATTAATGCCATAAGCTCTCTTTGCAGTATTTCAGACCTAGCCTTTCTGCCACCAAGGGGTGTATGGAGATACATATCCCACACTGTTGACGTAATTTTTGGATCTGATTCTGATTCCACACCACTGCTACATGTATGGAACATCATTCATTTAAGTGGAGCTACTTAAGTTTTAAATGAAATCAGAATCACAATTACTCTTTTCATTATTCACCCATCAGTCTCATGCCTAGCAGTACATCTGAGGTATGCCCAGTAATTAGTACACCTTTGTGCAGCTTATTGCTGTATTAGCAATTCCCTAAACTATCATGTCCCCTCTCATTTTTCCTGGAAAAAGCCCATAGCTTTTCCAAAGGCCCAGCATAATATATTGCTTTTCTCTGCAAAAGTATGGCTTGATCCATCATGGTTGTACTTATTTACCTAGCTTTAAAAACACAGCTTATTTAAATATGATAAATTTTTAATTAATTTATGCATGCCAAGATTTTACCCAGGAAAAAAGGGACAGACAAACTTACATTAATCATCTGGGAGAAGGGGACAATTAAGGAAAAGCAACATCTTGTTTCAGGTGCTGTAGGCTAACCACATCTCAGAGATGTCTGATAGGAATAAATGGGTCAAGTGACAGGGTTGGGGCTGCTGCTTGCAGCAGGTCTGAAACTAGGCTCTGAGTGCTGTCTTTTAAAAACACTGCTCACTGAGTTTGGAGCCATTACATATCAGAAAGACAGATGGTCTTGCCACTTCTGCCAAGTGAATAGGTCTTATTATGAATAAATCAAAGACAAATATAATGAAAATTCATTTTCTTGTTTATTTTCTGTACATAGAAGCTAAGTTTTGGACATGTTTAGTACATGAACTCCCTTGATTAGCCCTAGCTGTGAGACAGGTCGCCACTGATATAAAATTTTATATAAAACTCAGAATGGGCAAAGCAAGTGGTGCATGTAAAAAAAATGATGGGAAGGGAGTGTGAGCTCACTGGTACTGGACAGATCACTGCAAATTAAGACCTTTAGGAGGATTAGCTTAGTGTCCTCCTTGTACGTGGCACACAGCACTGGAGAAACACTCAGCTCACCCAATGCAAATTCAACATCTATCAAGGTGAATATGTCAGGTGGGGTGTGAACTTGCAGCAGACTACTTATTTAGCAGGAACCTCCCTGTGTGCTTACTTCACTTCCAGATGAAGGCCAAGGAGTTTATCATCCAAAGAAAGCAGAGTAACCTACTTTGCAATTACCAGAGTGTGCCACTGGGTAGGAACGTGCACAGTTAATGGTTGGCAGCTAACACACCATAAATTTAGAACCAAGTTTATCCCAGTAGGCCAGTTTCATTTGTTCATGTGTTCGTACCCTGAGAGGGCTCTGAGTGCTTCATACCTGGGGATCCTCTGTTGCCATTATAATGGCCAAAGCAGCATTGTTACCCTCTGGACATAAATGACCTGGAAAAAACAAGCTTAGAGCAGGAAGCAATGGTGGCCGTGTCCCTGCAGAACTGAAAACTCAAGAGTTAACCTGACAGAGGATCAAAGCATGACATTTCCACTTGTTAGTTAAACCTAAACGCTTAATTTGTACAAAATTAATGGTGGTTTTTTGTAATGTGCCTCTTTTGTGATAGTCTTGTCAGAATTCCCCCAAAACGCTGAAATACAGCAGCTTTAAATAACAAGAAAAACCTTTTCACAGAAAATGAAATCTTTCCCTAAGTAGATAAATTAGCAGCCCCCTAACTGTATTGCTGCTAATGATATGTCTCGTTCGTGATTTTGTGGACTGCAAGGTCAGTGAAGCATCTTACAAACATTTTTTAATTGGCCAGATTGTTAACATACACAGCAAAGCAGCGAGAGAGAGGAGGGACCCTCTGACACTGCTGCCCCCTCATTCCAAGATAGAAGAGCCCTACAGCTAATGGCTGAACCACACTGACAAGGCATCCTGAGGAAAACATCTCTTTGATTCTACCTGTCCTTTGGATAATCAGGGGATTATAGTTTTGGGCTCATCATTACAGGCATCAAGACTCTTTCTTTATGTAAAATATATAAAGATGAGAAGCACAGCACTGGGAAGCTGAGATTCATGACTTCGAAGAGAGCCTGCTTTGCAAATGATGGGTGGCTGTGGATGGTCTTGATTGTAGTTCTTGCAAGCTGTTCTGGCTCAGCCTTTCTGCCTTCCTCTTGCATCTGTGAATCATTAGCTAGACTGTTCAAACTGGAGCAGACATAGCATCCTTCAGACTTCTGAGGTTACTCTTCCTGCTCTTGTCCTTCGTTGTCAGGAGAAGCAGTAACAGGGATCTAATGGGGTTTTGAACACTTTTATTCAGGGCCTGCAACCCTCCTGATAGTTTCATCTTTCTCTGCACAAGGCTCCTGCAAACAGTTTCTAATGCAGACTACTGTGCTCAACATCTGTCTGTCTGGGAAAGCATTTCTTGGTGGACTGCTGTACTCAGTTTTGAAGATCTCTGAAGGAAATGGAAATCGAGCTTAATTCTCCATGGAGCTACCTGTACATTTCTATGTGGAAGGGAGTGAACCAGTGGGGATGATATGCTAATAAATCAGCTAATAGGGGAAAAGCAGGAAGCACTTCCCCCTTTTCAGACAGCCGACATCACTCCCCCACACTTACAGCTCTATTATGCAGTGTATTAAAGACACCAGAAATGTGCTTGATAGTAGCCAGTTTGTTACAATGCGTTTTAGCTTTGATAGTAGACACAGATCAATGTCTGAAGACATCCAGCTCCCTGAATGATGAAATCTGTGCAGCAAAGCACGTGGTTGGATTTCTGATCTAACAGTTTACTCCTCGCTGCTTGTGAGTCACAAAAGAGCTGCATGCAAAAGTGTGCAGCTTTCTTTCAAATTACCCCTAGCCAAGTAAGAGAAAAATTATTCCTCATGTCAATCTATCCTTGCAACAGCACAGTAATTTCTTTGTGTGTTTTTTGTTTTTTTACCTAGAGAAAGTGGGAGAAGAAAAAGGTCCTGGCTAAGAGTCAGTGTGACCACTTGCATCTCATCACCTTGTATGATTGCTCTTAGGAGACCAAAAAGCACACAAAATAGGATGATCCCCGTCCAGCATTGCCATTTAAGGCAAATATGCAGCCCCCTGCATTTTCAAGCTCTTTCCATTCTCCCTGCCTCTCAGTACTGCATCTGTAAACTGGAAATTGGTAGGTACTGACAGAAGAGAACTTGTAATGGTCTGAAAATACTTGGTCCAACCTGGTGCTGTCTTCATGGGAGAGGGCATCACCCAGATAGTGTAAGTCAGAGCTACAGACTGGTAAGGGGGGTGCAATACAGATCAATTCACCATTTATTTACCCTCTGGGCTTCTGCCTGAGCTCCCTCTGAGTGTATTTGAGAATCTGTCCCATGGTCTTTGTGCTGTTAAATGCATCCTAATGCATATAGGCGATAGCTTTCTAAAAACAGAATCTGCTTCTTGCATATAAGAATGTGCTCTGAAATTCTGTTTTTGCCTGAATGATGAAAAAAAAGTGTGTATGATTATTGAAGATGTCACCAGGAGAGAGTAATGGTTGTCACCCAATTAAAAAGAGAGGAAGTGAGAATATAATGTCTCTTGATATTCATAATAACAATAATAGCTTTCAGATATGTGACATGATTCTGAACTGAACACCTGTTAATTGCATAGAGAATTTTTCTTCCCATTAATCAAAGTCAGCGGGGAACCAATAGAATAGACACACTGAAGCTAAACCTGGTCTCCCTGTGTGATTGTATGGCACCAGGAACAGGGAGTTTTGGGTTTGGAACCCACAGCTGCTGTGTCATCTTACAGCAATGCACATGCAGCAACTTAGGTGGCAAAGTTTCTAATTTGGCTTTGCTGATCCCTTAATTACCTAAACATACGATGGCAATTTTGTTAATGTGTGAAACTGCATTTCACAGATGCTGATGATGGGTGAGAGTCTATTTCAGTGTGGAAGTTGCAAGCAAAATTCCCACTGACTTCAGTAGGTCCCATCCTGTTTGTAAAATACTCGTTTGTTTCCTTGACAAAGCTTGTCTTCTAAAATCATCTTGTTAGTATAGTACTCACCAAGTCCCCAGTGCCACATTTCTAGCAAGGATCATTTAACCTGGCATTTATACTCAAATTATGAGGAACATAGCAGTAATCACCCACATTCAGAAAACTCCATAAAACTGGATGATTTGTCCACTTGTTGTTAAAGGAAACCTGTGATCTACTAAACTTCACTTACTATTATTTCTGAGGTTTGGTAGACGTAAGGGGTACAAAGCACATACTGTATCAGAGAATTCTACCTCTGTGTAGGAGGTGTCAAAGGCAGAAGCAGAGCAGGCTCAGTCAGCTTCACCCTAAAGGCTTAAGCCTGTCTGGTGAAGAAAAAATTCAGATACCTCCAAGGTGTGAACAAATGAACATCAGCAGAATTTCAGGGGTTTTAATGTGACAAGGAAGCCTGAACTTCAACATTCTTTCTACTACAGCTCCTCAGTCTGAAGACTTGGTAGATAAAGTAATAAAATGCTATTGTAAATGACCCTAATTATTCTCCTCCTCCTAAGGCTGAGGTATTCTTTCCTTCTCTTCTTCCAGAGAGCTCTTAAACCTTTCTTAACAGAGGTTACTCAAAAGGCTTTTAGAGGGCAACATCCCTCTACAATTCAGATGAGCTACTTTCTACTTCTCCAGATATCCTGGACTCTGGAACAATTTTAATTTGCCAAGCCTATCAACAGAGAGAGGATGCTTGGCTCTGTCCCTTCCAGCAGTAACGCACCTGTACGCTGGAGTCTTGGACCAGGCAGAGCTGCTCCTGGATCTTCTGGAGCTCCTCCTGCTGCCAGCGGATGTTGGCCTGCAGGATCCGTGTCCGCTGCTCCAGCTGGTCCTTTATGGTCTGGAACATGCTGAATTGTGCCGAGAACTGGGGGGAGGAAATAAAAAAAGAGGGGAGGGGGGGAAAATCAGTCATTCTAATACAAACAGCCTCAGTAGAACATTGTTCTGTAAGGAGTTACTGGTCTCTTCATTGTAAAGCACAGCTAAAAAATAAAAATGTCTTTGTAATATACTAACATGCAGACAGAGACATCTTGTCTATTTTCATGGTTATGCACATATATTAAATTTCCTCAGCTAGAATGATCTGCTTACAGTTGACCATGTTCTGCTGGAAGGACTGTTTTTGGGAGTATGCTACTTTAAAATATCAAGAGCATCTTAACTGAATGGCAAATGAATGCATTATTTTCATTAGCTTGTAGTTTGGAGCCCTTAGTGTGGCATAACAGCATAATCCAGATGTGTTTTACTAATGCTTTCCTTTTTCAGAACAGAAATAGCAGTTCTGCAATGCTTTGTTCTGCTGATGACTTACTAAGGCATCACACAATAGACCACAATAAACATTTTCTAGATTTGTGCAGCTGAGTAGTACTTAAATGACAAGAAATACTCATTAAGTTATTTTTACATGTGATATAAAACAGGGGAAGAAAGGCTGTTCTAAATAATAGTAAAAAATGGAGATCATTAATCAAGGTCAAGAAGCAGGTGCAACCTCCAATAGCAGCAATCCTGGCACAAACTGAAATAATCAAGAGTTGTGGAGAGGACTAACAGCAATAAATCCCTAATATTTGGTGCTTTCAGGTATGATTCAAAGTTCACCAAAGTTAATTATTACTTTAATAGGCTTTGGAATAATTGCTTTTGATAAGCTCATATTCCAAAAGTAAAAAACAGTCTTTGAAAAAAAGAACAAAACCCTTCAAAAATCTTTTTAAGTTTTTATGTAATCAAGGCATCCAAGATCTTCTTGAAAACAAGCTGAGCTGTGAGTGTACAGGCAAAAAAATAATTGCTGTGACTGGAAAAATGCTGCCCTGCCCTATCTTTGTTCCAGTGGCTCTGTGCTAGTGGGTGAGCTGATGCTCGCTGCTGGAACCTTCCTGCTCCACAGTGCACTGGCTTACATTGTTTCTGGCTTTTTAGTAGGGGAAAAAAGATAACAAGAGAGGAATTAAGGACTGCTTTGCTGCTAGCAGCACTGTACACTTCCTTAGATGAAATTTTTGGCTACTTGGAGAAAGCGAAATGTGACATAAGAGATTTATATCAGCTAACTAGCACATCTTAAACCAGTTAAGTATGTGAAAGTACCTTTACCTTCCCTCTAGCAAAGCTGACATCTCCAAGTAAATGGCCTTTGGCAGAGAAAGAGCGAGAACTTCAGGAGGTTTATTTCCATTTATCAGGCAGAGGGTGGCTTTCCCACACAGCCTGGGAGGTCACTGCACAGAGTGATGGCCAGGTGGGGGTCAGACTCACAGCCAGCCCTGCTTAGGGGCAAGGAAGGCTGCTAAGGTGGCGCCTGCAGCTGCTGGTGACAGAGCCCCTTGGCTGCCAGAGGCATCTGTGAGCACTCACTGCTTGCACAGTCTGCCCAAGGAGGGGAAGGGAGCCCTCGGCCCTGCTGTGACTCACGGTGCTCGTGCCTGCAAACAGCACTGCCATCATCTGCAACCCACTCCTCTCCCAGAGCAGAAACAGGGTGTCAAACCTCCCAAAGGGAAGTTTGTGTTACTTGGAATTGGTGTTACAGAAGCCAGAGCAGGGTCTCCTTCTTTCTTTCTTGTCCATGTATAAAGAATTAACCTGAGGAATGGCTGAGCAGAGACCTCAGATGTTTGGGAATAAGAACAAGTGACTCAAAGGGGAATCCACTGCTGTTCATTGCAGCCCAGTGTTTTGGTTCTGAAGAGTCCCAGGTATTCTGGTTTAAGGAGTGGAATGATGCTGTGAGCAACACATCATAGAGGAGATACAGCAAATTCCTGCTTTAACCTGGCCTGTACAGAAGGATCTTTTAAAAAGACAAGTCTTGTTATCTAATTATATGAACTCTTTTAGAGAGGACTGTTTTTAAGTTTTTAAAAGGATCCTTATTAGAAAAGGAATTAAAAACAGTTTTAGCAAAGAGCTTAATTTTAACTGCCTGTCTTGGTGATGGCAGACTTTTGATTAATATGCAAATTCCTTGATGACCCTTTGAGAAAGGAGCCTGATTTTCTTCAATTGATCAATGTAAGGAATTTTAAACTAAGTAATTTCACAATCACTTTATACTTCAAAAAGGAATAAAATCAATTTTCGGGCCTTAGTTTTAAATTTGAATTTGCTTTGCGAAGTTGCATACAAGAATGTATTGCTGTTGATTTTAAATTATTATTCCTTAATTTTTTGTGCAGGTTCTTATATGTAGCATATTCATCTTACATTTTCTTTTTGTTCTCTCTTTTACATGCTTTTTGTATTAATATACTTAACATCAACAATTAGCTGGTATACTGGAGTGAAAGCTGCTATGGAAGAAGACAAGGAACTTTCTCTTTTGCTTTTTTCCTTTTCCCACTCTAACCCCGAAATTGTTGATAACTCTAACCATGACCCCTGTGCTTACAGAGCTCCTATTGTTTTTGTACAATGAGACACTAACAGCAATTGACCTGCTCCAGAGGGTATTTATCTCAAGATCATTAACCTCTCTACTAATTAAGGGAGAAATCTCTAATTGTATAATAAATTAAAAGAGCTTAACTCAAAACCTTTCACAGAAAACACTGCCCGGCTTTAACTCTGCCATTGGCATCTGATGAAGTTGCTCTTCATCTCACTTAGGTATTTACAAATCCACAGAATTCTTAGATAAGTGCATGTAATACACAGAAAACTGTCATCTTTTAGATGCAAACACGGGAGACTAAACCTGTGAGATCTCTATAGTTGCACCAGTTTAATCAAGTTTTGTTAATGCAGGCAAAAAAAGCCCCCAAAACAAATAAGCAAAACCACAGCAGTAATTTTAGTCTGGTTTCTTAAAAAAAGAGTAAAATAAAGTGATGCATTTGGGATCATGTCAGCATATGTTCTGGTAGGGAGGGGCTCAATGCACTAGTGCTGGGTACGGTCCAGGGAGGCTCTACAGCCCAGGGAGAGGGGCTGGCACTTCCATGCTGTGATTCCTCTCCTCCACCATGCCCAAGGAGAGGTGTTTTTCTCCACTGAGTGCTACCCCACGGTGCCAGGGTTACTCCTTCTCTCTAGGTGCTGGGGGGCTGCAGCCAGGAGCAGGGACCTGTGGCCCCTGTGTCTGTCAGGATGGTTCCTAATTTCTAATGTGATGAACAAAAAGATGGATCTCCCAAGACAATCTGCTCCTACAAGTGTCATGACAATAGGTAGCTGGGTAAAGAAAAGAGACCCTATTTGTTTTGTAGCTGAGTTTCCTTTAAAACTTTCTCTTCTGCCTATCTTCCAACTTTCTTTCAATTCTTCTGGCCCAAGAGATGAGCCATGTTTCTTGCTGGAGTCATTCAACAGAGTTGAGAGAGTGTCAAAAATACCAGATTGCTGTAACTTCATGAAGGCTTTAGCTGAGCAAAGGAGAGAAGGATCCACTCATCCCTTGCTCCTGTGGGAAAGGCTGGCTCCATGCACCAGTCCTGCAAGGCACAGCCCCTGGGAAACTGGATTTCATTAGTTTTGCAGCTCACTGAACGACTTGTTCTTTCTTCCTTCATCTGAATAACACCTGCTCAATCCCAAACGGATTATTAGTGTTAATTATTATTCAGTCATCAACATCCGCTGCATTGCAGGGGATTTTAATTTATGACAATGAGGAAGGCAAACAAACAAATATTCTAATTGGGAGCACTTGGTTTAAAGTAAACCATTTACATTCAGGTGACATCTAGGGTGACACTGTGCTGTCTGTTCATTCACACAAGCAAGGCACAAGCTAAAATCGCATTTCAGTGGAGACAAAACCATCACAGCCTTTGCTGGAAATAAAACTACTCAAAGTTCAAGCAGATGGTGCCCGAGGCAGCAGCTAGCTGCTCACTGCAGACACAGTTGTGGCCACTTATAATGTTTTCCCTGCTGCTGCCACCCTGTAGCCAAGTATTAGCCACAAGGATACCCAGGGCCTTCCAGCTCCTGCCATCAGTCACCATCAGCTAAGGACAAGTGGCAGAAAGGCAGCAGGGACAAACCTGTGCAGCTCCTCCTGGCAGCGGGGCACCTGGCCACACCATTTCTACAAGCTATGGGCTTGTGTTTTGCCACTAAACTGCACAACTGGAAATGGTCAGCTAGGAAGCCAAGAAAGTGTTCCTGGTAGGATGCACATGTACCTGGTTTTGTCCCTCACTCACCTAGTGCTGCAGGCACCTTTGTCTTTTGACAACATTATATTGCTGTAGGCTGACATGTTAATTATTTTAAAGTGGGACGTACAGAGTAGTATCATAACATTCATAACAGTGTATGAAAATCACACGTGTGTGGAGAGGTGGTACTCTCCGCAGGAGTTTTGCTATGGAGTGTGAATATCAGCAGCCTGAGCTGCAATGTCCTGGTGTCATTTCCCTGCTCCAGGTCAAGCTTCATCCTGAGCTTCGCCAGGAGCACTGCTGTGACTGCTGCCAGAGGGCTGCCTGTGTAGACAGAGTCAGCCCTCTTCCTTTCACTAGGATTTCAGTGGCCCAAAGAGGCTTAATCAGTGACTGGATGGCACTCTAATTTGTCAGAAAAAAAAATGGGGCTGGTGTGCCAGAAAGAGCTGTTTACTGGGAAGGGACAAGGCAGTAGGGGTCTTGGTAAACAACTGGAAAGCTTCTCTTCACAAAGAGCTTTGATGGAGAAGAAAGGGAGGTAGAAAAAAGTCAAACAAAACACACAGAGACTTATAATACATAAACTAATTGATGTTTGAAAATGCATTAATGAATAACGGGGAGAAGTATCTGTAAAAGAAAATGAATGTTCAGAGCAGATAATTGATATGCTATTTATTCGCTGCATGCTAGCGTGGAGTCATGAAGAGAATATTAAACATGGAAGATAAATGAGAATTTGTTTTTTTAAAGCCAGGATCCTCAGGACTTTATATGCTTTATGTGCTACAGAAATAAACTCTGGGGTCTTGTGAGTGAGTATGTGGTATCAATGGTAGAAGCAGTCTAGGTCCACCAATACTCTGTCATTCCTAAAATCAGAGGATGATGGGGTGTATCATCACAGCAGAACCACAGGAGAAAAACAATGTGCTGGGAACATGGTACTCAAATTTGCTCCTTCAAATTCCACTGCAAATGTAACACTGAGGTGATGTTTTGGGCCATCACCCACTTTTTTAATAGACTGGAGGAATTTGAAATTTGTCTTTAGTGGCATTCTCACCATTACTGGCACACTCACAAAATGAGTGTTGTTGAATTTGCATGTCCTATACTGCTAGTTAGTTCTGCATCAGCACAGCCAAACAGGTGTTTTTAGCAGGACTGGGTGTCTCTGTTAGTTTTTTGTTTTAATTCTCATTGTGAATTTGATCTTGAAGGAACCTGGTTCTGTAGAAGTGAAGTTGGAAATTCTTTTTCCATCTGGTTTTTGTCCTCTCATGAAACAGATGTGTGCACACCTGAACCTACACGCACCTGGGCTTCTGAACACCTGCATGCAGTTGTATGTTTAAACATACAAGTGTAAAATTCAGATTACTTTCCCACAATATTTTAAGTGGTTGAGAGTTTGGATTTGGGGATTTTAGTTACTAGAGAGGTAACTTAAAAGCCCCAAAATGAGAAAGTATCAGGAGATAAGCAAGTGACCTATTCCACTTCCAAATCCCCAACTAACCTGTGCCAGAGGTGCAGGCTGATTTTGCAGAGTTGCTTGAGGCAGCAACTGCTGTGGGAGAAGCTCACATGGAAGCTGAGAAGGCAAAGAAACCTAGGTTAAAAACAAAACAAACCAAAACTTTATTTAGAAGTTTGGCTCCTTTAAATTTTAGGTTTCTTCTAATGCCGTGGCTTCTGTGTAAGTTGTTTTTAATTGCTAAGCTGCGTATGTGGCACATGCTGTTACACCCTCTGCCTGTTTCCATGATTCCTTGTGAAGTTACCTGAAGAGCAGTAGGCTGGCTGAGTCTGTGCACAGATAAATCCTGCTGTGCGCTCGGTGCTCTCGGCAAGGCAGTGTTGGACTCTGTAATCAGCTTTGTTGGTGTAGCTGCAAGAAAAGTACCAGTGAGATCTCTCATGCTGGAAATGAACCCTGTTTGAAGGGGGTAATACAACAAGACCTGGGTAGAAATTGTAATGGCCTGGCTAAATTCTAGTGGGAGTCAGGGCTGTTCTTGTTGACTTCAATAGCAATAAAATTAAACTGATAAGGAGGGTCTGGGCAAAGATAAAAGTAAATGAGACAGATTATGATTCTATGCTCCAATGAGCAGTGCAAAAGGACCCATGAACTATTCTAAACCAGCTGAAACTTCCTTTATATGGGCCAAATAACTAAATTTAGGTTAGCTCATTGGCTTTTTTTCCAGATCAGGAAGCAGAAAGAGTATACCCAAGTCAACACTGGAGCGTCCTAAATCTTGGCCAGAGGAGAGTCACCCACAGGCTGTCACTACTCATGTAAGTCTAGAGAAATCTCATATGGCTCACAGAGGTGCCCTCAAATCTAAACACAAAATCCTCATTTTTGTAACAGATCGAAACAGCACATTTCATGTCTAATCCCAGTGTTCATCTTCCAGCATTTAGGTGGTTGTGCTAGAACCTTCTCTCTTGTACATCACCATTTCAGCTTTTGCACTTTTTTGTCAGTGCATATCATCAATACCTCATAATTTATTGTTAAATTAGCAGCTGTGATATATAAGCACACATTCTTTAACTTGGCTAAATTAAAAATAATTCCGTAACTCAGGAATGCCACTCACATGCTGGGTCTGACTTGGGTGTGTGGGAAGATTTTGGCGAGCTCCTGGATGATACTGAGGGTGTCCGACTAGCGCTGAGGATTGAGGCACCAATATCAAGTGCATTAAAGTGCTGTTCAGGATCCAAGCTGGCACCACTCTCCTAAAACAAACCAGAAAAGGAGAACAGCTATTGCATCTGTCAGAGGTAAAGCATTTTGATATTTAGTAATGGTTGCACTCCAGTTCTTTGGCAGACCTAAAATGACTTGAGCAGAAATAATCTCAGGTGGACCAGCAGATCTGGACAAAGGCATCAATGCCCCTTCCAAACAGCATCAAATGAATACATTTTACAAACAACTATCACTGAGCTAGAAATAAACAGTAAGCTACTGCCATAGTCACTTTGTGCCTTCAGATGTTTTTCTGAATCTTTCTTTTGTGTTCAGTTAGATGTGACAGCAACTGCAACCTCTGTGAGACACTTGGCCGTGCACTGAGGACCAGCTTTGTTGTCTTTCCTCAAGAGATCACTGAGATGTTGCCAAGAGGGCTGATTGCCAGAAATTGTCCAAATGCATCTTTAAACTGTAGTACCTTGCCAAGGAAAAGTGAGATATCTTACACTGCCCCTGCCCATGTTCCACTTCATTTGTGGTTGTTATTGATCTCCAGGTTTATTCTTTCATAAAGTCACCTGATTTATGTCAAAATAATTCAAATGAACAATGAGTTCTGAAGTTAAGAGAATCCACCAACATTGCAGAAAGACAATGCTGGAGTCTTCAGTGATGTTAACACAGAACAAGTTGTGATTGCTACATAAGTTTATGAAAAAAGCTTTTCTCATTGTACCTTTAGTGCTGAGGACACCACCTCTGAGGACACTTCTTCCAAGCCCATCTCCTGTCTCCTCTCCACACGAACATCTGCATAACTGAATGGAAAACATAATTCTATGTATCAACATGGAATTGCTATATTTCTTAAAATGTACTTTAAGAGAGTGGAGGAATAAATTACTGTACATTTTATAGGCTAAATGAGCAGCTGAAAAGTGACTTAAGTCAAATGCTACTGAATAACATTTGAGAGTGTTTTAATTTTCAGGTTTTGCTCTGTTCCTATCTTCTTGAAGTCAAGCTGCATATTAAAGAACTATATAAAAAGGTCAACTTCACATCCTACAACCACTTTATGACTTCACTGGAAAGCTTCTACACATCGCTTTAAAAACAATGTAAGGATTAGAGAACGTGAATATTTAAGGATCTGTCTATTCTCTAATTTTGCACAAAATGAAAAAATGCCATAGTTTATCTGCCCCTAAACTAAACACAAAAAGTAAGCTCAACACAAACTAAGGTTCAGTCTGATAATTTTTCTATAATTACCCTATTTCCTTCAGAAAGTTCAGACTTAATTTTTTCGTTATGTAAGTGATGTTACATTTTTAAAAGAACATTGTGGCAGATATAAGGATGCTCCTATCTTCCTGTCCTTTATGTCCTGGCGAGTTGATAGGATTTTCCATACCTTACCACCATGTGAGTGCACACAATGAACTCTGGCTTGGAGTTCCACTGGTGGTAGGTGATGTAGTAATGGGTCTGGAGCCAGATCCACTGCTGTCCTTTGGTCAGAAACCGATAGCAGCACGACTTCCCCTTGCCGAACTGCATCACTGCCAGCAGAAAATACACACAGCTTGGAGCACAATTTCCCATGTGAAAATGACATGAAATGTGAAAAAAAAGTGACAAAAATGTCTGTCATAGGTAGACAGGAGTATAAGCAGCAATTTTGAGTAAGTGCTCCTCTCAGCCTTCTGACAGAACAAAAATCATAATGATTAGTAGGTATCTTCTTCTGACACTTGGATAGTACATTCCTACACAGCACAATTAACCTTACGTTTGGACACTGATGAATTAGTGTCCTCTACAATTTAAACAGAGATCTTACCCAGCTTTATGTGCTGATCACATACTGCTTAATTAGACACCTGGGATTACTTTCTAAGAGTGATCATCTTAAATTCTAGAGCAGAAAAGTACAGGATAAAAATGCTTGAAAAGATGAGTATTGTGTGCAGATGGATTTAGAATGAAGTAAACATATGAGATAACACTGTGCAAAGACAAAATTTGAAAGAAAATTCCCAGATTGATAAAAATTCAAACTACAGTAAACCAGGGTGTACTGAAGGTTTTGTAGATTCAATAACCTAATTAATCTCTTCTTTTTCCCCCTGGTGATTTCAAGGGGTTCCCAAACATCCACATATTTAGCTTTTCTATATTTCAATGTCAACATATGTTGACAGGATACTTTCAAGACAGGCAGAGGTGGTAATCTGAGATGTTAAAGCCAGTTCTGTAAGCAAATATTTGAAAAGCATTGCCTTATTTTCCTTACTTAGTGAAAGAGTTTTTCAATTAAATCCTAGTAGACCGTATTTAAATAATCACAGCTAATCCCAAATACACAGTGAACAACATTAGGGGAAATAATCCACAAGAATTGCTTGAACTATTTCTGCATATTCTTTACTAATAGAACAGGGGTCAAATCTGACATATTTTATCCATTCAGTGAGTCTCGCTGGCTACTTTTGGGGATTTAGAAGGGAAAATTGTATTTTTCAGAGCTTGGTAAGTCTGTCCCAGATGCCAATCAGCTGCAGTGTCTGCAGTGTGCTACAGCTCTGCTAAGATATACGGGCTGAGGCAGAGTCAAACCTCCCCTTCCAAACAACTTTTCACTGAAAAGAGGAGTCCCAGTGTCCAGTGACTTCCCAGGAACCCGGGCCATGTGGTACTTACAGTGTTCATGGCACCTTGCTAGCAGCTCCAGGTCGTCTATGTGGTAATAGTCGTAGCCAGAAGTTCCCAGCACTTCAAATGGGAGGTATCCGATGATCGGCGGCGCTCTGCAGTTGGGCACGACAGGAGGCCATGAAACACAGAACGAGCAGTTCTGCATGCTGATGCAGACATGCAAACAGCCCAGATCTACTTTCACTCATCAGTGTATAGCTGTTCACCTCAGGGGGCTGGATCCCCACTTTCCCCCACCTTGCGCTTGGGATACCCAGCTGGGAGCAGCAATACCGGCAGGCATCATCCCACCAGGACAAGACTATGGCAACAGCCCTCCTCCAGGGAAAATGTGATTGTGGAAAGCAGTGCAGCTTCTCAGGGACCTTTATACAGGAATCTGCTGTGAGGGAGTCCTTCCTTGGCTGCTGCTTGGTCAGGGGCTCTGTGATGGCTCCTGCAGCCCTTATACAGGGAAAAATGTGTGAGGAGGTGTTTGGAAGCCATCATCTGCTGGGACCAAGGGGATAAGAGAGGAAATCATCTGTGCTGCTTTCCTCTGGGTGCCTGGAGAGCTCATCTGTGGCATGCTGAGGCACTTGCTTTGTACCTTTGCCAGCACAGATGCCTCAGGCCAGCATAGACTTTCCCTCCATAACTCAGTGGGAATTGCACACACGCAATCAATGACTGGATTTGGAAGGAAGGATTTCTGCAGCTGTATAATAATTAGCTCATTTTGCCATGTGACAGACTTTGGTCTGTTGATAATTTTAAAGGAAGGAAGAACAAGCTAATCACAAATTCAGCTGAAGAAATAGAGTCCTTTTGTTTCAAAAGCCCATTAAAAATAAAAGCAAAAGTAAATGCAAAATAGTAAACATCAGCTTTTGTAGGAATTTAGTTGGCAGTCCTTCTTTTCATGAGATTTAGATGTGAAATGGAACACTACTTGAGAGAACTGTACTTGTGAAATAGTAGTAGAAAAGCACCAAACACAACCAGCAGGGCTTTTCTTGTCACCAACCTGTGATCCAGGAATAAAAATTTCCACTCCAGACTGTGTCTTGATGTGAATTCTTCTAGAGGTTCTTCTACGATGCACATCTCCTGTCCAGTGGAGAAAACTGACTTACTGAGAGTTGGAGCTTCACCCCTCTGCTTCATCTAGCTTTTGTTAGCTATAAATACATGGTGCATAAGAGGAGAAAACAGAGGATTCACCCATTTTCTGGCCATTCCAGAGAGCAAACTATTGTATTTATCAATGCCAACATTTTTTACAGGAGACAGGGAGAAGAAATTGTAATGCACACGTACTTAAGAGCTGAGACTGTGCCTCAGGGTGCCAAAAGTTTTTTGGCTTTGAAGCAGTGCCTGGGGTGTGATGGCCGTGGGCTTTCCCAGCACCCAGCCTGTGTCTGATCCCACCAGGGCTTGCCACATCTTGCTTCACTCCCTCTGTGTTACTAAAGATACCCACCACCCTTGGTCCTTTTGGATGCCTGCCCACCAAGCTCTCTGAGAAAGGGGGACACTTTCCTTCTCCCTCAGCAGCTGCAGAGGAGCAAATGCTTTTTCAGGCAGCCAGCCTGCAGGGGATCTGTCCAGTGGGTTAAGGGGTCAGTGTTGCCTTGCACTTCACTGCCACAGAAACAAGCTGGCCCTCAAGATTCACAGCAGCCCCTCAGTGCTCATGAGCATGATAATTAGTAAGTGAGTTATGCAAGGCAGGGTAAGGCAGGACAGCCTTGCCCCACAGAGATGAGGAGCAGGAGGCAGTCAGTGGGGGTCACTTGCTGTGTGGAGGTGGGAAGCAGAGGGAAGGATGGCATCACAGTGCACAGCCATGCATGGGCTGGGGCTGGCTGCGTGCCCCAGGGCCACCTCACTGTGGCCATCTCTCCTCTCCCACTGGATGCTTTGCAGGGGCAACTGCAGCTTCATGAGCTGCCTGGAGTCAGCCTGGAGGCTCCTGGCCTGGGACTTCCCAGCATCAGCATTCTGGATTTGTGGCATCCAGGGTTCCTGTGTCCTTTGTGTCTCTCCTGCAGGAGGGTCTCCATCCTCACTGGTAAGGACAGCCTGCCCACTGGCCCCCAGTGCTGCTATTCCCCTGCTCCCTGATGCCACATCTCCCCATGCTGTGGGCCCAATGACAGCTTCCCGTCATTTCCATTAGTGCTTCACTCTCTGCTGTCCCTCAGGCAGAGGAGACCACTGATGTTTTAAACCCTGTTGGGACCAGAGAACAAGCTGAGGTGTGCTGCAGTCAAGCAGTTCTTTGATACATATCAATGCTGACAAAGTTCTTTGAAGTCACTAGCTGTGCAGAGGCAAAAGGCTTCACAAACACCTTCAATTCCTCTCTCCCCCTCTCTCCAGTTTAGGGCAAAATCCATGCTGATGCCAAGATCATACACTAAAGTTCAAGGTACAAACACTGCTGTGTGCAACCAAACTGCTGAATTCTGTCTCCCTTAGCTGGTCAGATAAACATTTTACATTCATTTTACAGCAGAAAGTCAAGAGTGGGAGTTAGGTGAGTCACCCAGGTGAACTTAAGTGTGCTCAGGACTTTGTGGCAGTTAAAATCTTCTCAGGGCTGTTCAGCAGCTGCTTCCTCCCTAGGACCTGGCAGCTCATTGCCACAGCTGGCCCATTTTGTTTCCCTGTTTATTTTGAGATGATAGCTCCCCAAAGACAAGGAATTTGCTTTTAGGGCTCTCAGAGAACCTTTAACTCCAGCCCTTCTGCTAATATGCTTATTGTGGTTAAGTTGCATGGGAAGTGTCCTCACTTACCTGGAAGGGACTCTACTTCCCTGCAGAGTCAGGAATCAGTCTAGAATGCCCTGCCAGTTCTAGAGCACAGAATGGAACCAGGCCACGGGAGAAGTGTTTTCATATTGGTCACATCTCAACTACATTAAAAAAACCCTCTTAAACTCTGGGCACAGGACACCTAATGCAGCACATTTGTCAATCAGGGAACAGCAGTGTTAGGCACAAGCTTGGTTTGTCTGTCCTTATAAGCACAAGCAGCTATCTTCCAGGATTTGTGAGAAGGGAAACAAGCAGTAGTCCACCAAACACTCTGAGAAGCACAAATGGAAGTGTTGGTGGTCATCTGTATCACAAAATCACAGGATCAGACAATTAGCTAGGCTGGAAAAGACCCTTGAGACCTTTGTACATTGTCCCATTGCAGGAACAGAAAGCAGCAACGAGGAACCAAATTTCAAAGTGACTTTGCAATTCCTATTGCAAGGAGGGCTCTGTATCCTGTGCAACACGGGCAGAAGTGACACTGCTTCCACAGATCCTGGCTTGCACTGATAATCCTCTTCACTGGATTTTTATGCATGAAATGTGATACCTGTAATCCATTCAATTAGCAAAACTAAGAACCTTCTGTGTTGCCCCATCTGAAAATGTTTAGTGAAGTTCTGGGATGCACGGCACCCAGGGTGAGCACTTACCTTTAAAAACTGAGGTGTTGCCAAGCGAACCGTTGCCACAAAGCAAATCTGTTTTCCTGGGGATGCTCTGTAAGCCCTTGGGACAGCCTCCTCAAAGCCATTGCAAGTGGAGTTAGGCACTAGTTAGGGAAAAAAATGGGACCTGGAGTCATGCCTCATATAAGATTCGCTCTCCCTGAATATTTTGCACACTCCAAGTGTACTAATACTATTTTTATTCAGAGAAGTGCTCTAAAAGCTTTTAAAGCTGATATGCATATATTTAAATCCAAGTCAGTCATGTTAGGCAGAAAGGCATCAGAGCTTAACTTCAAATATGAATTTTACAGGTTAATACTGATAAAAATAAGGCCAAACCTTATTACAGAGCATAAACCAGTTCTCTGGAAAGAAACCCCATGCATCCAATTGCTCTTTTTCACCACTCACAAGGAAAAAAAAAATACATTCTGCAGCATGCCTGGTGCTGTAACTTCCATGATGCAGTGAAAAAAAGTGTTGGCAAAGGAGGAAGCTGAAGAGAGTTCGTCAAGTCATCAATGGCAGAACACTGGGGCCCACAGCCAGGGAGGCTTCATCACACTAGCAAGAGGATGCTTGTGATTCTTGGCTGCTGAAGAATGCCTTCCCCTTCTGCATGGAAAGAACTGTCCCCAGTATGCTCAAGCTCTCCTTGTTTTAAAGAAGAAGAGACCCCATGTATGGCACTGGCCTCCAGAGATGGGCACATCTGGCGAGTCTGCAGAGGGCCTGCTGCGTCCTCCAATGCTGGGCAGGGGGAAGAACTGGATGTGATGTGGTTACACATTTTGTATATGCTTTTTGCCTGTGTCTTTCATGATTGCATGGCTTCAACTGCTTTGAGAGCCCACTAGCACCTCCTGCCACAGAGATACATTGCCAAAAGGACATGTTGATGAAAACCAGCCCACAGTCCCATGTTAGAATGACATAATGCAAATTACTCCTCCAAGTTCAAGTTTAGAGATGGTAATCCCACTCCCACAGCTATGAAAGAAAATGGTGTGCCAGGCTGCAGTGGGAACTGGGCTGGATTCTTGCCCTGCCTGGCTGACTTCCTCCCAATGGGGGCAGAGAAGGTCCTAGCTAACAGCCAGAGTTCACCAATGTGAGCTAATTTCATGCTAACAGGGATTAAAACTAACATGAAACTCTCTTTCCTTACTATTAGGCCCCTACATCCACCTTCATGAAGTTTCAGACAGTTTGGCTCTTCTGCACAGGGCAAAGCATTACTGTGAAACTGAAGAGCTTTGTATCTATATGAGGAGAAGATAACAAGCCATTTTTATCCTGGGGTGCTTCTGCACTGGGATTTCATTTGCTACCACAAATTGCAGAGATGGAAGAAGTCTCAGGTGATCACATGTGCTTTTGGAACCCAATTCAACCTATTAAAAGCCTTAGAATATTGATGCATTACTGGTAACAAGGATAACAGGGTATGAGACAGAAAAGAAAGTATTCTGAGTGGAATTCACACCTGTGATTAAATGGTTTAGGCCACTGCATGTACAATATATATTACACCAAAAAAGAAGAAAAAAGTTCTTTATCTGAGAAGACAGCACAGATGTGAACATCCCCAGAGATAAAGTCCTCTCTCATAGTTGAGACCGGAGGGCATGGCTAACTGGATATAGAGAGAAAAACTATGGGCAAAATTCTCCTCCTTTCACCAGCAGAGCACATGTGCTCTCAGGACGCCCTAGGAATATGTGTTCCCATTCTGATCCTGGAGTTATGTGTATATATGTGGGCTTCTATGGGATTATTAACACAAAAAGTTGAAAAGAAGAAGAGTTAAGTTCTACAGGACACACAAGTAGCCTAAGTAAAGAGTTATTGATCCATCCCTGATATTAGAATTTTGTGCAAGTCTGTTGATTTCTGTAGTTGGTCCCATTTAAAAATTAATGGGAATGCTATAAACCCACATTACGGGCACTGAGAAAAGTTACTTCTGAGCTTGCTATGTAGTTTGCTGAGACATTTGAAATCACTGGGGCTGTTTCTCTCTGTAATAGCAAGTTCAGGAGCAAATTCTTGCAGTCTGGGCTCTAAGATATGAAAACAAGATATGCACATTTAGCCTCTGAAACACAGGTATGATAAGTTAACCTAGTTAGCGAACCATGGGCTTGCAAATGACACCAGTTGTAGAAGGAAGCGGAGACTGAGTCACACCAAAGAGAGCAGATGGCTTTTTTATGTCAGCTGCTGGATGTAAACAGCCACGAGCCTGAGACATATTCCCAGAAGGCAGCAGAATACATCCCTGAATGTGGCATTTACAAAATAGGATTCTATTTCCAACAGGTAAATGCAGTAGTAAGAGGGTAATAATTATTGTGTAGGACAGCTAGGCAGTAATTTGGGATTTCCTCACAACATTTGGAAATGATGAACTTAGGCAGCAGTGAATGAATAAGCCCAAAGAGATGAGACACAGCTGGCCTGGCTGGATGTTATCCTGTCTTTGAACAGCTACTGTGCCATCTCATACTCAGCTGCCTTTGACAAAGTCCAGAACATTAAAAGCCTCAATGATGCAGGCAGGTAGCCACTACATTGTCAAGTATCTCCATCTGAAAATGACAACTACAATAACTGAAAGGAAAAAACCACTCACATTTGCTTCTGAATTATTTTGCTGCCTGACTTTGGCTGTTGGTATCTTTTCTTTCCACAGCTTTATCTGCACAGCCTGCTTTGCTCTGCTTTTGCAGCTGGTCAGTGAATTTCAACCTTTTTTGGTTGATGAATTTTGAAGTGTAGTTAAAAAAAGAGGTCATTAGATGAATTTTTAAAAAAATACAATCCTGGTATAACCTTTTAAAAAAGCCTTCTGAAAAATCATACCTTATGACTCTCCAAGTCTCTTCAAAAGAAACACAATACCTTGAGGTAGTTCAGTAGTGAACTTTCTGAAAGCACCACAGAAAAACAGGGAACAGAAAATAGAGGATCAAGCCTGAGGCTTTGCAGATATTAAGATTTATCAGTCAAATATAGGGCTTGGAGTGCTTTTGTCAGAAGATGCCTAATGAAAAATGTTAGGCTCGCCATAAACAGGTGGGCTTGGGTAAGTGAAGGCCTGTGTGTTTCACAATTAAATAATCAGGATAAAATATCTTGAGTAAGGAATCTGAAGGTCATGTGACAAAGCTGAATACATCATCAGAAAGGTAAAACAGTTGTCTCATATACACCAGCTAGCTGATGCTCCTTAGTGTGAATTTTAATTGTTTTTGTGGTTACCTATCATGCCTGTTGCCCCTAGAGTACCACAAAATTTTTTTGTAGAAGTACTAAATACCTGCAAGTATCTTGTAAGACACAAAGAAACTGATTTACCTATACAGATATATTTGTTTGATTGTTCTTTTCTTTATTTTTTTAAAGACCAGGACACTTGGAACAGAATGTTACAAATAAATAATGTACAAAAGGAACCAAACCCTTCGCTATTACAGGCAAAAGGATTTTTATCCCTAGGGAGAGAAATCATGCCATATGAAGTGAATGAAAACATGTTTTAAAAACCCCAGATGCCACTTTATTCAGTTAATAATAGTACAGCAGTCAGTTGCTTGGTCATCTTTCTTCAGCTTGGAATGTGTAAAACATAATCTTCCTAAGATAGCAACCCTCCTGCTTATGCCATTTGAAAGAAGAAATCCCTCCTTCCTACTTTGTCAAGAGATGTTAATATTTAAAGAACCAGTCTTAGTGACTGTCAAACAAGCTGAACAGTGATTTCAAAAAATACAAGCCAAACAGACTAGAATAAAATCAAATTTGTTTCATATAAATTAATTCAGGCCTCAGATGAACAGAATATTTGGCAATTAACAGATATAATGAAGAAATCCAAAGTGCTGGTGGCAAGCCAGACTGCTCTCAGTAGTCATGTAGGTGAGTAACAGTGACACTGTCCATACATCACCTGTCCACTTTGATCTACTCTCTCCTCTTTCCTCCTCCTGTTTCTCCCCTGGCCATCCTGTGCTGAATGATATGAATGGTATGATATGTGTGATATGAATCCCAAGCAGATTCCTTAGAACAGGAATGGTGTCTTTTCTTAGCACAGAGAGCCTAGCAGGAGTGCTGCATATGGTTAGCTGCAGCTTCTATGATATTGTTAATAGCAAGTAATAATATGTGGCTCTTGGTTCTGATCAAAATATTCATTTTGGATTGAGTTATTCTTGTTTCAGCACATACGTATGGAGGCTCAAGATCAATGTATCTTCTGTATGAACTGTTTACTTCTTTTAAAAATTAATTCAGATGCAATTAATTTTTCTGGAAGTTAAGACTTTTCCCCCCCTTTAACACAGTAATTTTCTTGATGCTTATTATTATATCTGAGAGATGTATCAGCTAACAGTAGAGTATCTTCCATTATTAGTATTCAGTAACCAGATACTTCCTGAGTTTCCATGTAATTGGGAACAAAAATGCACAATTTTAAATTCCACTATAATATTACATTACTTGATTAGGAACTCTTTTCACATAATGCTTATCTACTTCTTCAAGAGAAAAGCTTCAGGGATTTTGGATGAAAGGACAGATCTATCACTTAAAAGATGCTGGTGGTCCTTTTTAATATTGGTTAACTCTTTGAAAGGGAAGACTCTGTGGTTTTGTCCCTTTCAGGAGTTTTTAAGCAAGTGTGTCACTTCAGAAAGAGGATACCAGAGCCAATATTTGGATATATAATTATGAGAGATCTTTGTGTGTTTACAAATTACAAACAATTTTCACAGGAGGAATAAATCCAACCCATCTTATCATTTCTTATCTGAGTGAGCTATTAAGCGGCTTTGTAAAATAATGTATTCTCACTCGATCTGACATTTTTTACTGGAGCTGAGCACTTCCTTGGACTTTTGGGGAGAGTTACCTTCATTACATGCCTTCCTCAGCCCTCAGGCAAGACTGGGTGAGAGCCACTGTATTATTCATTGGTGATGCTGATATGAGTCTCTCTCTTACCAGGTACTACAGGTTAATAGGTACAGTGATGCACTTGGCTCCCTCAGATGTGAGCTCCCTTCATGACTCTCGTTAAAATCTGGGCTACAGACCCAGAACCTGAAATATATAAAAATATTGGACAGAGTTCCTATTTACAAATAAACCAAAACCAACCCTGGTGGTCTGACAGCAAGTAGGCATTTCTCACAGAAGCAAAAAGGAATTCCACCTTCCTTGTCTGAGTGGCCCGTGGGCCACCTCCTTTCCTCTCATGGGACTACTGAATCTTCACATCAGGTTACAGTCCTGCTTTTCTCATTGAAGCTTAATTAATGATGATTATATAATCCTCCCAAATGGAAAATCAAATCTCTTGTATTTGATTTAGCACAGGCAGTGACTCATGCAGCACTCTGCACAGCTTGCACTGCTGTCTCACTGGTCAGCTGCTCTCACTTGGGCACAGCCAGTGCAATGGGGATTCACTCATGTGCAGGCAGCTCATGTCACATCCCTGGTGCAGATACGGCAGCAGAAATACTCTGCAGCAGGGTTTGCAGAGTACAGATTCCTCAGGAGCAGCCAAAGTGTGCATGCTCTTGCTAACCCTGGCACTGGGCTGTGTAGCTCCTCTAGCCCACAACTGCAGCTGACCCTAGGAGCTCCCGGGACAGTGATCTCCTGAAAGACAGAATGCCTGCTGTGAACAGAGAGAGCTTTCCTGGGCAATTTCTGAGCCCTGTGTATGCACGTCCCTGCCTCTTCTGGGATCAGTGAAAATGCCAGTGACTACTCCTTTGTGGGAGTAGCATGGGTTCAATGTAGACTGTGTGTGATCTGGCTCCCTGACAGCAATTCTGGTGACAAGTCACCTTGGCAGATATCAGGTATTTGTCCTACTTCAGCATGAAAAAAATTATCTTTGGCATCTCAGTACGACGGCCTTTAAACCTCAGAGCTCCCATTAAAGTTAGGGAGAGAAGCTAAGCTCCTAACTGGCTTTCTAAGCTTCAATCCCTCAAATTAATCCATTCAAACCCATCCCTATATGATGTTCTCAGCCAGAAGTCAACAATGAGATTAAGGGGGAAGGTATAAAGGAGGAGGGAGGGGGGCAAGGTGACTGGGACTCACATGCCTGACCTCCTTGCTCCAAGCACCAACCCTGTATGAGTAATGAACAATAATAAAATAAGCCTAAGGAGATGATAATTCAAAAGAGGTTACATAAAAGGCTATGTGGAAGTAGAATAAAGATAGTGACATTTCTGTTAAAGAGGGTGAAGTAGGACCTACCAGTTCTTAAAAACATCAGCAAAAGTTAAATGACAAGACACGGAGACAGATTTACTCCTGCAAGACTCTACATTAATGACAACAGAATAGCTAAGTATCCTGACAGGATATAATGTGCCCAGGGATAAAAGAACTTCCCTGGCCACAGAGGCTCTGGCATCCTTGTGGCAGGAACAGGCAGGCTGAGTGGGCTCAGAGTATGCTCAGCAAAGCATTGGAAACAAAGGTAGGAGTTTGCATTGGGTGGCTAAAAAGGAATGGCAGGATTTGTATTTAAGGAACATCCTGTATCAGTCTCCCATGTGTAAAAATATGCTCACACTTCCACTGCTGTGAAAAGCTACAGGGAAAAACATTCTTCAGTACATTCATAAGGAATGCCTCCTGCTTATTAAGCCTAATTTGCAATTTCTGTCTTTCTCCCCCAGCTAAGTCTTTTCTTATCTTTAGCTTAGAATCCCTCCTTCACAAACATCTCCAAAAAGCAGGCTTTGGGGCCAGCTGATCCTATGCATATAGGACAAATGCTGCCCTGAGTGATGTGTCTCTCCCACCACCCTTGTCACCACTTTCTCTCTTGCCCACTTGGCCTCACACCTGGAGGATGGATGACTGGAGAATGGGTATTTATTCAACAGGAGGAAAAAAGGGCAATTGCTGTCAGGCCCAACAGGTGACAGCCCTGAGGAGCATGGGCTGGAGGATGGTGCCTGGTAACTGTGGGCCAAGCAGAGGCAGGAATCCAGCCCACCCCTGCAGCCACCAGATGCTTGGAGTTGTTTGTGCCACAAGTCCCTGTGCCAAAGCACAGGTGCCTGCCCCCAGCCCTTGGGTGGCTTCCCCAAAGGGTGGAGCATGCCTACAGTGCCTGCTTCAGCTGATTCTCCTGTGCCTTGCTCAGGGTGCAGCTGGCTGGTGCAAGGAGCCCAGCTGATCCAAGGACAGCCACTCTGGAGGTCTGCACCCTCCTCTGGCTGCTCACCCTGTAAGCCAAGAGTATCAGCTCCCAAGCAAACAGTTTGCTGCTGCTACATCTGAATCCAGGGCACTCGCTTCCACGTTTGCTGGGAGGTGACCTTTGCAGCCATGGGGGTGACCCCCAGCCCAAGGGGAGCAGTGCTGGACATGCACTGGTGAGGCATTTCCATCAGGCTCTGCACTGAACTGCTGAAACTAAAGTCAGATGGCAAGGGGGCCAGGAGGCACCATCTCACAGAGCCAGGCAAGGCTGCCCCTCCCTGTCAACCAGAGGGTCAGGCTGAAGCAGAGACGGGAAGAAAGTGGAAGAGACAAAATTAAGTGAAGATTTAGAAAAAAGTGGCACAAAGGGGGAAAAATGTGAAGAAGAAAGCACATGACTTGTTTGAAAGCTATTAAGATGGGGTCTTTCGAAAATGATTTGGTGTCTTCTGAAATCAATATGTTCCCATTTAGTTTCTATGCATTAAGCCAGGGAAGATATCTGTAATGTAAGTTTTATCATTTTTCTGAGAAATAGCCACTGATGAAATAGCTGGGATGTGAAATCCTAACAGGTAAGGGGGCAATATTAATGTCAGGCTAAAATAAAGGGCTGAAAATCCTTGAAGAAAATGGATCAGAAATTCCCCTGGTAGAAATGCATCCTTATGAGTCAGCACCTGAAATCCGGTTTCTGCTCTAGAAAACAGAACAGCTTGGTGTGCGCGTCTGTCAGGCAGGCGCATTTCACTTCATTCAAACTAGAAAGCATACAGGCAGCTACATTTTTTTATACAAATAGAGCCTCAAATCAGATGGCACCAAACAAGAAATACATATCTCCATCCTGCACGTAGGTTTCTATTCTAGTCATGTGGAGCAAAAGCAGAAAGTTAAATGGGGACAGGGACATTTTTTTTCACAGCGTGGTGTGCAGTTTTTGGAAAGCACGGTGGGGAATTTTTTTGCAGAGGATGACCTATTTGGAACAATACCAGCAACTTTGGAAATGCCACTCTGGAGTTCAGTCAGGCAAGTAACTAAAGCAAACTTGGGCAGGCAGGAGAAGGAAAGGAATAAAAGAGTATTTCATTTCTGACACTAATGGCCGTGCAGCAATCTGTTTGTTAGAGAATGGGTGAGGTGGAAATCTGCTCTTCACCCCTTGAAAGATGCTTTCCCTGCACTGACTGTGGTGCATCAGTGACTATGCTGACTGCATGTCTTCCCTTTTTTTTGGAGAGTAGTGGGTTCTGCAGTGCTGGAGAGGAATGCAAAATGGCAGCTGGAGAGGGAGATGGGTGGCAGTGTCCACAGCCATTCTGATGAAACATGGCACTGCTGCCTTTCCCCAGGATTTTGCAGAGAAGGGTAAGAAGACAGATTTGGAAGGTTATCAGCTCTGGCACAGAATTTGTGTTTAAAGTAAACCAGCAGATAAGGCAGCAAGATTATAATTTTGCTAATAGGTGGGGTCTTAGCACACAGTATCAGTGAGCACAAATAAACCCTCATCTAAACCTGTCATTATTTGCAAACGTACCCAGAGTCCAGGATCACTGCAAGTGAAGGGCAGTAACAAAAGCAACTAACACAATTTCACTCATCACATGTATTTATCCAGCTACTGCAACTCAGCCATGAGATCCGTGAGAAGCAAAATTTATCCCGTAATGTTAAAAATAGTTCTGTCAGTTAAAAGCCTGTCTTGTTCAATGGAGCAATACTTTTATTTTACACAGCTAAAGGAACATTTATACAACAATTAAAGCTTACCATTGCTGTAAGACCGAAAATTTCCTACAAATTTTATGTATTCATATGTTGGAAATTCCTTTGGGTTCAAACTTCCTCTCAGAAGATGACAATAAAACTCTAGTTCATTGTCAGCTGGATTGTTAAAAGAAGAAGAAGAAGAAATAAATATACTATTTCAGCTAAACACAACCAATGGTGTCTTCCAACCCCAATCTTGCAACTGGCAGCACAAGAGCAGCTTGTTACCTCTCAGGAGTCTCAAACACCAATGTGCTATACATTGCAGGAGCAGAGGCTCTGCAAGAAAGCCTTGCAGGGATGCAGGTTGCTCAGCACTGTGCCCAGGCGTGCCTGCAGCTCGGGGACAGCTTTGGAGACTTGCCGTCTGTGCCACACCTCATCACAGGAGTTACACAGCCACAGCCTCAGTGCAGCCACAGACAGAACTGGGTCCTTCACTAACTGCTTTTTTCTGTTTAGGCTCCTCACCACTCACAGCTGTTCTACATCCTGTGTTGGAAAACTATGCTTAATTACCTCAAAACATCTATTAAATTAACTTGGGCATATTAGCTTTCAGCTGCAGGTTTTGTACAATACAGTAGATTGGGCAGCTGTACATCTTACATTATTGTGTCTTTTTTGGTTTTCTGCATCTTACCTCCTAGAGTGAGTAAGGCTGAGGAAGTAAAAACATTCCCAAGGAAATCAAAATTCAATTGGAAAAAGAACTACAATAGTTTTAGAGCGATTTTTTGACTGTAAGGCAAACCAAAGTTACGCCACATTAGCTGATCTCTGAACAACATCTTACTTGAACAGGCTGAAATATCAATTAAGATGTGATTTGTCTCAGGCGAACTCTCAATTTCCATCAGCTAACCTATTTTCCTTAGCTGTCTCAAATGATATGATATTTAATAATTAACATAACTGCAAGTAGTCTTAGCCTAGTAAAATAAAGGCAAAGAGTTTCATTTAAAAATAGAACCAAAGGGTCATTCCAGGTGGCAAGATCTTTTTGAAAGGCTACGAACCTAATTTTTTTACTGCACATCACATAAAAAACTCTTTCTGTGAGAAAATTTTTTATCCTGCCTGTGCTTTTTCATTTACTAGAGAAGATAAAATGAAACTTACTTTTTAAGTAATCAGATGAGGCAGAATCTGTCATAAGCATACAAGAAGATAACATCTTATAAATTTCTGAGTGTTCTTGTTCTGGGAGGAAGTTTAACAAATTCTGATCCAAGACATCACACTGCAAAGAGAAATAAGTTTTGAGACAAACAGAAATATCACAACAAGCAACACTTGCAGAGATGTGCAACAAGATGTGATACAAAGCCTGTGGCATTTGACAGGAGTTTCCTCACTGATTTCCAGGTACTCTAAAACAGAGGGGGAATCTGTTGGACAAACTGAGTGGCCACTTCCCTGTGGGCTGGTCATCAATTAAGTCTCAGCAATCAGCAACATTCAGTGTTTCTCAGAGACCATCAGATCCAGCAGGTACATCCATGCAATTAAATTATGAGACCTGGGAGAGGGCTGGAAAAGGGTGTCTGGCTCCCCATAGTGCTACTAAGCTCCATGCACAGGCCTGTTGTGGATCATTGGAATTTGTTCTCTCCCTAACAGAGCAGTGAGGCTGAGAGTCACCCTGAGTCAGCCAGGTCAATCCCAGATCAAGCTCCTTCCTGGGGGGATCCCCTCAGCTCCTGGGAAATGCCCTTGGGGTGTCAGGTCTGGCTCCCCATTTCCTGCATCCTGGCAGGTGGGAGTAGGGGACTTCCATGTCTGGACATGACTTTACAGCAGGTAGTCTCCAGGGAGAGGAACTTCACAGTGCCACCAAGTCCTCCCTCTGGCCAGCCATGAGCTGAATGTCCATGTGCCTCCAGCCGCATGATCAGCTGGCTTGAACCTGAAATCCATCCAAAATCTAGGAACTAAGATTTGGGAATGGAAAGAGGAGATGGATTTGTGTAAAAGGCCATGGCTGGCTCAGGGTGGAGACAACAATGAGTCTGTCATGGGCTGCCAAGAGGAAGGTGTCCCTGTGCCCAGTGTGGTGACTAACCCAACAGAGTGCCTCTGAAAGGAAGCCTGAGATAAAGTGACCCTCCAATGGCATCAACTTACATCTGTCCCACTTGAGACTACCTCAGGCTGAGCTGGCACACTCACACAGCTTTGAGTGTCATCAGAGCAGCTTCTATCAGACTGTACAGTCATGCTGAAAACATGTAAGCTGTGTATGAGACTGGCAAGTTATTAACCATCATCTATTTGTGTAAGATTGTGCTTTGGTTTCCATCTGCTTTCTATTCATGCTAGCTTTTCTGTGTGGAATTCCTGTTTAGAGTGGTGAAACTCACTGAGCAGACTTTAAAAATCAGAGTGCTATGCTTTATACACACACCTTAACAAGAATATATCACTTTAGATAATTCAGTTACAAGTATTATATATGCTCATTACTTGAATATTCCTGTTGTGAAGAATAATCAAAAGTTATTTGTGTGGCTTTAGTTTATATCTTATTAATGTGAATCCTACTGATACAGTATGTGATAAAGGTTTTTTATGTATGTATAAATACTTACATGCACATTTCTGTATACACATACTATGCTTCACAAAATACAGTACATTGTTTCATGTAATTTTTTTGTTGTGCATATGAAGAAAAAGCCTTTGACAGGAAACTGCACTGGTGAGTTCTGTTCAAGGCTTAGGTGCAATCTCAGAAATTATTTTTTCCTGTAAATGCTAATGATACTACCAGGTTAATTTATCTCCCATGTACTCTGCAGTAATTGCAGAGAAAACTAGATGTGAGCCATCACTACTCCTCTAACTGAAACCTTTTGTCTCCATACTGACCAAGCTCCAATTCCAAACTCTCACCTCTTGCAGAGGTCTGGCACACCAGTAAAACAGTGCACAGAACAAAACTTCTGGACCTTGTACACATCAAGACTTCAACAATGCTCTCAAATCAATATGTCAACCCAGAATACATTGCTAAGTCAAACAGAGAGATGGAAGCAAATATTCCACGATCTCACTGGAACTGTGGAAAATGCCAAGCAAGCTGTTCATAGCTAATTCTGCACCAGACCCAAACAGCAGACATCTGATGTCATGGCAAAAAGGTAGGTGGTGAAACAGATAAGGTCTGCAAAGGGATCTGGACAGACTGGATCAAAGACCTGAGACCTGTATGAGGGTCCAACAAGGCAAAGTACCACATCCTGCCCTTGGGCCACAACAACCCCAGGCAGTGCTACAGGCTGGGGATAGAGTGGCTGGGAAGCTGCCCAGTGGAAAAGGACCTGGGGGTGCTGGTCCACAGCAGCTGAACATGAGCCATGTGTGTGCCCAGGTGGCCAAGAAGGCCAATGGTGACCTGGCCTGGATCAACAATAGCGTGGCCAGCAGGAGCAGGCAGGGATTGCTCCCTGTACTGGGGACTGGTGAGGCCACACCTCGAGTACCGTGTCCAGTTCTGGTCTGCTCAATTCATCTCCCACTGAGGTGCTGCAGTGTTCCAGAGAAGGACAACAGAGCTGGGGAAGGGTCAGGAGCACAGGTCTTACAAGGACCAGCTGAGGGAGCTAGAATTGCTTAGCCTGGAGAAAAGGAGGCTCAGGGGAGACCTTATCATACTCTTAAAACTATCTGAAAGGAGGTTTTGGTGATGTGGAGGTTGGTCTCTTCTCCCCAGCAACCGGTGACAAGACAAGGGGAAATGAACTTGAGCTGCATCAGGGGAGGCTCAGGCTGGACATCTGAAAAAACTTCTTCATGAAAGAGTGATTAAGCATGCGAAGAGGCTGCCCAGGAAAGCTGGCAGAATCACCATCCCTGGAAGGGTTCAAAAAATGAGTGGACATTGCACTTTGGTTTAGTGGGCATGGTGGTATTAAGTCAAAGGTTGGACTTGATTTTGCAGGTCTTCTCTGACCTAATTCTACTGATAAAATTTGACCATCAGTGATAACAATGGATCAGTTGGAGGGGAATGGTTTGCAGCTCTGTCTAATTATTCTGCAGTGAGCAGTTCTGTGCCACTGGCTGAGACAGCCAGAGTATTGCTGAACGAGATAGGCAAAGCAGACAAAAGATCAACTACAGTGATTGTGGGTAGACTTGTTAGATGAACTATGTTAATGCACAGTTATGCTGCTAAGCCTGGAATCTACTCTGCATCTTCACATCTATGGATCCTGCTAAGCAAAGCTTTGGAGTATTTACTCCTGAAAGCTAAGGCAGGCAAAAAACACCTTTGCCTACCTGGATGCTGGTCTGTTCTGAACAGAATACATCAAGTTCTGCAATAATGGGATGCACAGTTAAAATATTGCTGCAGTTTCAACAAAACAGCTGTACTCCAGAATGGAACTCCTTCCTCATAATTTCATTGCTTTTAATGTGGGATGGGGGTCGGTGGAAAAATTCTGTGGTTAGGTGGAAAAATTCTTGCTGCAGGGAGAGAAAAATCAAAGGATGTAAGCAAACATGGTGACTAGGAAAGGGATGGTGGAGGGCTGTAAATGAGATAGGTTTCTTTCCCACCAACACAAAAATAAAGATGGCTATGCAGTTGTGTGCTGGGATTTGGCCCCTGTATGAACCTGTGTATCCTGCACTGATTCCCACTGCTACCCTGTAACAGCAACACAGCATGATTAACTTCTGCACACTGTAAGGTGCCATGTCCTGGATTCTTCCACCCTGAGGTTTGCCTTAAGCACCCAACACAGCAGAGCAGCTCCTTGAGTTTCACTGGGTAGCCCCTGAGGAGAAATCTCAACCCTGCCAGGGACCTTCTGGAAAAGCAGGCAAGAAGGGACAGGGAGGACCCTTCCCAAGAGATTGCATATTCTTGGAGTCATAGTGTACCATCTGACTGGCAAATGCTGAGTTGTGATCAGATTTCAATGAATTCACTTCAGTTAGTCATCCTTACCATGTGAGCTAGACCTCTCCATCTCAACTGACTCTACAAGTAGTCTCCAGACCTCAAAAAAAAATTTAGAATTACAACAGGGGAAGTTTGTGTCTGAAAATTTTCCATGGAAATATGGGAAACTGTGTTAAAGAGAACCGGATATATTTGTTCTCAGCACTGGAACTTTCATGATTTTAATGAAAAAAGAATATACATCAGTTTTATTAACAGGAGCCCTCAGAGTGCCCGCTCTGCATTTTGCCCAGTTTTGCATTCCTTTCGTTGTTCAAAGCAGAAGATTTTCAGAGTATTTTTTCCCTGTTGCCACAGAGTAGAAAGAATTGGTATGTTGTTCCTCAATCAGTGACTGAATTTAGCTTACAAATAGATCCTCAAGGTAAACAAAATGAGCCACATAGATTTTCCGGATAGCACTCTGATCAGTTTTAAGACTTCAAAAAAAACAAATGACAAGGACAGAGGAAGACTAAAATACCCAGTGTGCACCTAGAAGCACCCTCAGCTGGGCCCCTGCCCATGGCCACAGTGATTTGCCAGCCTGGGCAGGGAGAGGCCTTTATTCCTTGCTCAGTTATGGCCTCTGGGATGCTCCCTCTGCATGTGTGGGCTGGTGTTAACCATTACCACTCCAGCAGCTCCAGCAAGGTCTGCTCCACCTGCAGCCTGGTCAGGCTGCTCCCCGACTTGGATTGCCATGTGCTGCTTCTGTGCAAATAAAAAGTAATGTCCATCTTTACCCTTATTTTGGGCTGGATACCAAGTAAGGTTATCACACAAAGCATGTCTTTGGGAGAGAAAACCAATTCAGTTTCTGATGGTGCAACTCAGGAATTGTAAACCTGAATCTATCCATGCTCAGTCAGGGCTTCAGACTTCAGGCACAGGGTCTGAAATGTGTCTTCCAGAAGAGGAATACTTTCCCTCAGCAGATCTATCATCTCCACTAAGAATCAGTATTTGAAAGGGATACCAATGAAATCTCCAAATGATGAAAGACAAGGAAATTTCATGGAGATCAGTAAGCATATGAAAACCCCATAGCCTGTGTGTAGGACAGAGCTCTCCCCACCCTTGAAGTGAGGAAAATTTAACAAAATAGTCAAGTACTGGTCTTCTAAACTGTTGAGGATGAAAGAAAACTGAAATAGATAGACTCAGTTCAATCTGTTGTTGCATAGCAATATTTTTGCATTTACCAGGAGCTGCTCTTTCATCAAGTTCTTTTGTCTCAGAAGAAAATAATTTTTGTTCTTATTCCAGCAAGGTAGTGTTGTGAAATACATTTGTCTGGGTGAAAAACATAACACATATTTGGTGAAAAACTAAATGAGAGAAAGAGAATTGTAATTTTCTTAAGAACATGGCAGGGGGTAGTACAATAATGATTTGGCAGCTAATTTTTTCTCCTGGGCATGTATTTATTTGAGACCAGGGTACTAAAAATGAGTGTGAGGATTAATCCATAATTATTGTGCCATTTCTCCTAGAGCAGCCTTAGCAACAGGAGCAGGGTTAGGAGCAGTCCCTCTCCCCTGCTCCTCCAGCCCAAGCCAAAGCACAGGAGTGTCTCCTGGAGCAGCACGCAGACAAAAGCTGAATGTGCTGAGCATCGGCTGCACTGGTGTAGGGCTGCACCCAGCACTGGCTCCACAGCAGCTCAGGGAGCAGTGTGCTCCCCTTGGGAAAGCACAGGGGAGCTCAGGGAGAGCTGTCAGCAGCCTCCAGCTAACTCCAGATTCAATGGGGCTTTTGTCCTTTACCTCCCTGGGAGCAGAATAAGGCCCTTAACAAGCTCCTCACTGGGCTGCCAGCAGCACTGGTGCTATTCTCTGTTAGCTTAAAAATCAGAGATGGAAAAGATCAGCCAGGTCACCCTGTCCCTCCCCTGGCCAGACTATTCCTGCAGAGCTTTTTCCATTCAAGCTGAAGTGCCTCATAGCAACAAAAACCTGAAGGATATGAATCAGACAGAGAGAGTGCAGAGCTGAGCAACAGCAGCAGCCAGCATAATGCAGGGACAGACTCCCTCATCACATTTTCAGGAAAACACCACCCCCAGCACTGTTTTACACTGCTCCTACAAGTGCAGAGCCCAATTCTACAATGTGTAGTAGAAAAGGCAGTGCCAGAATTACTCACCGGTAAATGCCCCAGAAGAGGTGTGATGCTGTCAGACACATAGATGATGCTTCCACCTGTGGTTACTGCTATAATGAAGCCATCTAATGCCTAAGGAAAACAGACAAGTGCAGAGTGCTTTAATAGGAATGAGTGGTGTAAACAGGACATCTCATCATGTATTGATCAAAACAGTTTGACTTTGGCACCATATTATTATTGAGTTGTAGGAATGTTATCTCAAGTTGCAGAACAGTAATTCTCTGATTTTACAGTCTGATTTAACTTTTACAAGACTCTTTGTAGTCTAGTAAAACCTACTATTGAAGCAACAAAGGGCTCACAGGAACATTTCATGTCTCAGTTTTTAAATTAATCACACATTTTAATAATGCAAAATGACTAAGACTGGATCCCTTGGAAGTTATTAAAATGAACATTTGAGCTCTGTGTAAATATCAAAGGACGATGAAAGGATGCAGTCCTATCTCAAAATGGTACTTCTCTGCAAACCCCATAAATCTCAGTTTGTATTAATGTAACATTGTATATTACTGGGCTTTCATGTAAGTAAAAGCAATGCAAATGATCAAATAATCCTTAGCCTGAGTTTTAATTGAGTGATTTATTTTAAAGGTCATGGTATTAGATTCCTCATTCCAAGACAAATTCACCCTTCTGCAGAGTTTCTTCCTCACTTTGGTCCCATCTTGTGGTAAGCCCCTCCACTCCTAGGACTGAAGGGAAATGTCAGCCTTATCCCCACCCTCTGCACAGGACCATTTTCACCTTCAAAATGAGTCTCCTCTTTAGTCTGAGCTGCCAAGTTTTGAGCTAAATTTTGCTCAAAATTAAACCTAGGTGGATTTTGAGATCTAAGGCAAGATTAACTTATTTTTTTTGGGGGGATTCTCCTCAGAGTGAAATAAAACTAGATGATCTTCAGATCACTGTAAGGAGAACATCTCAAAAAATTAAGACACAACAGCAGGGGCTCAGAGAATATATTAAAATCTTCCCATTGTCATTGGGGAGTCACCAGTGAGGCTCCCAAACCTTCAAGTGGGGCAAGTCTGGGCCCTTCCTGTCAGTTCCCCGATGTTCTGGAGTCAGTTTTGGCAGCAGTACTTGAGCAGCAAAGGCCCTGCAAGCACAACTGAATCAGAGCAGTGTTTGACAATGCTCCAGGGGCCATACCTGCTCAGGAGACAGGTGTACTGCAAACAGCCTGACCAGAGAGCCACAGCAGATTACTAAACCATACCACAGATCCAGGCCTGCCTCCAAGCCAGACTTGCAGTTGATCTTGTAATCCCCAGCACATCCTTCCCCCCCGCTGACTTCAATAAGGGAAAGAATTCTGAGAATACTGGAAAATGCTAATTGTTAAGAAAAAAAAAAGGAAAACACAAAGCCTTGAATAAAGACACAAACATATGTTCCTTTTTCCAGAGAATGCTGAGCACCCACAACTATTTAAGTCAATGGGAATCTGCTGGTGCTTCAATCCTTTGAAAAGCAAGTCAATAACTTATACCCCAGTAGAAGAGTGAGTGTTTAGCATCTCTGAAAACCCTCCAGCTGCTATAGTTAGTCTGACTTTGTTAATCTAGGTGCAGAGAATATGTTTTCCTTTGGTGCAGTACATTCAAGCTGTTTTCTAAAAAAGCATGATAGCTGTTAACCCATAGAAGAGAGCAGTGGTTTTACAAGGCAGTTGGATCGTGCATGTTACTATGGTGAAGGTTGTTAGTTTTTAAAAAATCAAGTCTTTATTTCATATCCAATGCAAATTACACACAGTGACTCATATCAGAGCTTTGTGGTAAAATCAATTTAATGTGTGCATACATAACTCTGTTTTTATTTACTTGCAACTGGACATTCCAACATTAAGGGAGCATTTTCATCTTTAAAGGTTTTACTATTGCATCAGTCCTAGACAGACAAACAGAGCCTAATGCCCACTGTAATTTGATGACAGCCTTTTCAATGTGGTAAGAAAAGGCCATTTTCAGGAAAGCTGATATATTACTGCAGCCTTGAGTCTTTTGAATTAGTGCTCAGAAAAAACCCTACCCATCTTTTAATAACAGGATGGGAAAAACTTCAAGCAGTCTTGCCCAAATGCTAATAAAATAAGATTAGTAGAAAGGCAAAATAGCAGGGAATGATGAACATCTGTCACAACAGGACATCCCAATACCCAATGTTATCTTGAAGGGCATGGAAAATCACAGTAGCAAGAAGGTGATTTATAAGCTGGGAAACCAAAAGGGATTGTTTTAATCTAAAATTGTGTAGCATACAAGTAGAATCAACAAAGACCCAACTTGTCAAAACACCAGTCAATTTACTGCTATCTGAGGGACATATTTCAATGCAGACTGAAGGAGTTATGTGTGTTAAGTTCCTGTGCACAGAGATGGAAATGGGTGGTTGTCAGAGCAATGGGAGCAAAGTGTCTCATAAAACTAGTCCAGGGGAGTCTCATCACAACAAATTGCAATGGCCAAAGGACTGCCAGCCTCTGGGAGCCAGCAATGTGCTCTGGCTTTATGCCACTCCTTGCTGGTGAAGTTGCTCCCCACATCCTTCCCTGCCCATCACCAGGGCCTGGATCATGTGCCATGTTCACATCATTTGTGGGAGGAGAAGCTTGTTCTCAAAGGACACTGTGGGGCTATGCAACATCTGTGTGTTTAGTATAGGAGAAGACTCTGGCTAAAGGCAGTTCTAGCTATTACTGAGAGAGAAAAATGTATTCTAGCAACTCATTTGCTTTTCATTTTGAACCTACATAAACGCCATTGCATTGCCTCCCTTCAAATCCCAGCTAGCATTAAAAGAACCAAGCATTAAAAGAATATGCTATAATTGAAAAACTAGGATTGGAAAATGCTAGAATAAGAGGTGTTTGATAAGGGCCTTGAAAATCTGAGTGGAAGCACCAACTGTATCAAGCCAAGAGGAGCTGTCAGGCTTTATCTGCTTGTTCAGCACCTAGCACTAGAGGGATGCGACACCACTGTGTTTCAGGTGCTAATCTTGCATAAATATTAGATGCTAACAACGCCTTCCAAGAACAGGAGAAAAACAGCCATGTGCCCTTTACCTCACCTCTGCTTGTAAAAAAAAAAAAAAAAAAAAAACCTGTGATTTGAATCTTTGCCCTGAACTTCTTTTCTTGGGAGCTGCTGCACAGTTCTGCAGGCTGCAGCAGCCCAGTGCAACAGTACTGCTGAAAGGGAAGAGCAACAGGCGATGCCTCTGCTTGACAGTCAAATATAGCAGTTCCCAAAACCTCCTCTTCTGGAAGGGCAGATGACAGTTTGTTCTAAATGCATGCACATTTCCATGAGTGCTAGACAAAACTAGGAAAGGTGTATGTGCATGTTTACCTCCAACATCAGCTGGGTGAATTCTTCATTGCTGAGAAATGAAGGCTTCCAGTCCTGCTGAATTTCAGAAATCTCCGTCTGTGCTGAGACTTCTAGACAAAGAGAACATTTACATCTTTAAAATTCAAATTAACTTATATCTTGAAATATTACATATGAGTTGCTAGGAAAAGAGAGAAATAACCTTTGTATTCAAAAATTGCAGTTTTCAAGCCTGAAATGTTTTCCTCATTTTTTACTCAAGTCAACTTGTACTGACTTCAGTGGGAGCTTGTATTCACAAGGCTATTGAACTCAAGCAGCATTAAAGGGGTATTGATCAAAAGATAAAACCACTTTGCATGAAATTAAAATCAAGGCAAGGATTAGCATGTGTCCAATTGCTATTTACAATTTACAGCTTCAAAATCAAGATGCTAGAGAGGCTTCAGCCTATAGCTTCTGTGCCAAACAGAACAGCAAGAAAGCTCCTTCAGAGGAGCCCCAAAGGGCTGTGACCCCAAACTGCAGAGCTATTGCTCTGTTTTCCAGAAGGAGAGCGAATCACAAGCATTTGCAGCAGCTTTACACTGGTGCTACTGCCACCACCCTCTCCCTGCCTTCAGCCACATGGTGCAGGGCAGCCCAGGAGAAGGAATGGAGCTCCAGCATCTCATCCCAAATCCTGTCTGGAGGGCAGGGTCCCCTGTGCTGCCAGCCCAAAAGGTCCCAAGAGGAGATCTGCCCCACTGTTGACACATGGCAGAGGGCTTGCTCCTGGAAGGCTTTCCATGGAGGAGTGCAGACACACCAGGAAAACAACTCACAGCTTTGCACTGAAACTGGGGACCATACTGGATTGCTGGCTTGCCTTTGGAAAACAGTCATTTATGTTAGCTCTGAGTCAAACAGGATTCTGGGCGATAGCTCTAATTTACAGAAACTTGAGCTGGTTTATAGTTTGCTGCTCACTCTGCTTCTCTAGGAGGGCTCCCTCACTCAGGTCTAGTAGTGAGGGGATGGTGAGCACAGACTCTTCTCTTTTCAGCACCTCCTGATGATTAGCACTTTAATTAATCCTGTTGATTAACACTTCTAGAGCATGTAACACTCAATGCTCTGTATTCAGAGCATGTAGGCAAACTGGCCAGAGAAACACAAATGGACAAGTGATACTAAAGACAGTAAATTTCTACAAGTGTCCGTGCATTTTGTCTCCACGAAAGAAATCAAATCCTCTGTTCAGGCTGTATTAGTGGAGATGCAGCCATTTGCTCCTACCAGCTCATTTGAGTTGCTTTCTGCACTACTGGGGGCTGTCACTGGCAGCACAGCAACTCTCCACAGCTCCCATGGTTTTACACACAGCTTTGAAAAGCAGACTAAGGAAAAAGAGTCCATCAGATTTTTAAAGTAGTTTCAGAATATAGGATGCTTTCAGAGATCTGTAGCTTGGAAAAGCCAATGCACACGAAATGGTGAGTGTTGGGAGAATTACTTAAGATTTGGGGGATTCTGTGGATTATAATGAAGGAGGCTGTTTATGAAGGAAAAAATCTGAAAATTTGCCTTCTCCTCTGTTATGACTAAAATCTTGGTTTAGGCTACCAAACAGAGGGGGAACATGACTCAATAAACCAGATCCAAAGTACACTGAGGATAATCAACACTTTTAAATGCTGATGCTTTGTATTATATTCTGACTACTAATCTGCTTTAAAAATAGATAACATTTGCTTTTTTTAGCAAGTGCACAAACCCCAGTCACATTTTGACCCAATTGCTGTGGAAAGATTTGTGACTGTTAGCTTTCCTTCATCTAGCTGTTTTTCAAGGAAAAGCACCTTTTGGAGTAAATTATTTAGACCTTCAGCTACATTTATACACCTAATTTCAAATCTTGGGTGACTGTTCTTTGCTTAGCTTTATAACTGAGTATATTCACATCTTCCCGTGCCTTAGGCAGCTAAAAAAAAAAGGTGAGTTATTACTACAATTTTTAAAAAAGTGTACATAACTATTAAACCTTGAGATGTCCTGGTCATCCCCTCCTGTACAAACACAGGTTAACAGTTGGACTCATTGGTCTTAAATGTCTCTTCCAACCTAAACAAATATATGATTCTATTTTGTCTGTGGCAAAAATTCATTTAAGAAGAAATTGCACTCTAATGCCAGAACCATTAAAGTTATTTCCTCAGTAAGACTGACATCTGTGACTCCATTCTGTTGTAAGTCATGATATAAGAGTTTTAATGGTCTTTCCTGTTACACCCAGAGTTCTGCAGAGAGTGCAGGAAGGAGGTGCTGGATGAGCCAAGGTAAGCCAGGTGACGTAGTGCATCATCTTGTGAGACCCCTTTATGCTTTCTGGGACCAGGGGCATTCCCCACAATCACCCACTGAAGCCTCTTCATCACAAGGGCAGAGCAGGAGAGCCCCATTTTAATCAGTGCCCTGATTTACAAGGGAGGAGCATTTCAGTTGACCACTACTGGTGGATGTCAAAGCATCAGGAAGGCCCCATTGCACATTGTTCCTTCTGAGTAGAAACTAGACCAAAGAGAGTAGCTCAGCAAGGTCAGAAATCTCCTCTGCCCTCTGTGAAGATACATTTCTAAGGGACTTAACTGTCTCTGGTGCAAGCATTTTAAAAAATGAACTCCGGACTTTCTGATGCTGAATTTGACTACTGCAACTGGATGCTGTGCACATGTGATGTAGCTTCTGCTTGTGCAAACTGGGTGAAGCATGTCAACTATCTGTGGATGCAATTTGCTGCTGCCAGCTTCAAAAAAAGAGGGACTTTCTGGTCTGAGTTTTCTACTCAATGTGGAAAATTGAGTCCTGCACAGTTCACTGAGGAGCTGGGGTGCTGAACAGATTGCTTCCCTGCATTTTTTCTGCGGAGAAACTGGGGCAAATGCTTTGTTCTACAGCTCAGAATATTGCAAATTTCAAGTAAGGGAATATTCCCTCTCCTCCCAAATCTCTCTTGTTCAAAGCATCTGTCTTCTTCATGAATGTTGCAGGGCACTGTTGCCGTCCTTCTCTCAGCTGCTGCCATTTGCCCCCTTCTCTAGCAGGTTGAGAGTCATCTTCAGCTGAAGAGCAAACAAGGAGATGGATTTGGGCAGCACAGTGTCTGCAAGTGATCTTTATTGATGAGGTAGGAAAAAACTTCAAATACCTTATGTTGGCACTTTTAGGTCCCTCAAGCCATTCTGATAATCACTGAAGGAAACAGGATATTGTAGTAACTGTCTGGCAAGTGCATGAGGAGCCGCACTACATCTTACCATTGTGTTTCTGCAGAAAGCCGATGACTTTTTCCAGCACAGTGGTTTTGTCCATTTTGCGAGTGTTGCCTGGAAGCATGGAGCTGAGCTCTTTGATGAGAACATTGAACTGATCGCGCCTCTTCTTCTCAGACTTGTTACGCGAAGCCCTGTAGACAGGGGAAAAGAAACAAAGGATGAGCAGAGCAAGAAGGAAAATGATCATGTACCTGCTCTTTGCAATATATTTACATAAAATCAGCTTGCTGCACGTGTCAGCATGAGAAGATTGACACTGGACTCCAGAAAAGCAGTAGAAGCAAAAAGGAGGCAACAGTTGCCACCTCCTGCTCTTGTCTTTGAGCCACCTTTAGTGCCCAGCACGGAGATGGAGGCTCTGCTCACTCCCCTGTGCTGCCTCTGGACACTCCAGCTGAGCTTATCAGGACAGCATTGAGCTTGTAGTTGAAGGAGGTCTATCCATCTCCCAGACATATGTAGGATCTTAAAAATTCATGCAGTCTCTGGGGAGGCACTCAGAATGAGACGAAATAGGAATACTGTGACAACAGTAAAACTGTGCATAAAGAAGAAGAGTAAGACTGGATCATACCCATCTGTGCAGTCTTAACAGAAGAGAGGGATCCCAGTCCTGCAGCTGTTGCACAGGAGCTGGGTTGATCTAGAAGGACTTGCCCACTTTGGTCACAGGTGCTCTGCCTACCTCCAGGCTGGCAGAGAAGAATCAGGATATTGTCTTCCAGTCATTAAGATCAGAGACCTGGGTAGAAGTTGCTGCAGCTCCCATCTGATTTGTACGCAACTTTGTTCAGTCTCCTTTCCAAGGTCACAATGACAAGCAGGAGAGGGCATCAGCATGGATTGTTTGAGGCTGGGATGCATTGCTAGCCTTGGGGTCTTGGAAGTGCCAGCAGTGCTTGCCCTTAATCTGTGCCACTGGGAAAATCAGTGGCAGTGCCCCAATCTCTAGGTTTAAAACAAAGACTCTACAGCTTTCTTCACCAGTCTTGTCTGTTTAGATTGCAGATTCCTCAGAGAGAGCCTGCTTCTGCTGCTGCATTTCAAGAGCTCAAAGGAAGAAAGGATCTGATTTCATTTGGGGTATTTTGGCACCATCATAATACTGTCATTAAGGCTGTTGATAATCTTTTCAGCATGCACACTTTAGTTTTTTTTAACACTATGCCAATCTGTACACACACATTTTCTGACTTCTCATGAATACCACAACTGTTTGACTCAGAGGTTATCACCTGGACTTCTGTATCCACGTGGAAATAGAAATAAGTATAGCCCAGTAGGTTTGTTTGTTCCTCTGAAAGCTCCTCAAGCAGATGAGATTTGCCTTGTCAATTATGCAAAGACTGAAAAATCTGGTTACAGGTAGATGGAAAAGAAAAGCCAAGAGGCCAGTTCTCACTCTGACTTTACCAGTCCCAACTAACTCTGCTGTGCCTCAAAGCAGCTCTGGATGTACAATGCTGAAAGTCAGAGCAGAATTTAGCCCAGCATCTACATCCCCTGCAAGGACCAGGATGGCAATAAACATTTTCAGCAGAGAAATCACTACAGAGGCTTCTGGATGTTACTACTGACAGAAGGGGCAATTTTTGTTTGTCTTGCTCTCAACCCTGAACGCACTTGGAGATATGCTGGATAGAAGCCAATGCTTGATTATTTTACAGCTTTGAACACAAGAGATTGGGTGGATACTGCCTGACTGATTTCAGCTTGCTCTTATTACACTGCAAAAGGCTGTCAGAACAAGATGTGAAAAGCTCCAGCCTTATCCTCTTTCTCTACAGTTCAGGGCAACATTAAGAATATCAACATTTTACTTCCTCATAATTGAATCCTCAGTTCATTTTAAGCCTAAAGAGTCCAGATTTCCCTGAAAATAAAGTAAACCACCAGCTGTCAATAGGGAATGTGTTGCTTAAAAAAAAAAAAAAAAAGAAGAAAAAAATAGAAAAAAAAAAGAGAAAAAAGCCTTGACAGAAATATAAAGTATCTATTTTTAACACTTGACATTTTATTCACAAAGGCAATATAAAAACTCCTCTAGTGGAAATAACTCTACCAAGATATGAATCGATGATCACAGTTAAGTTTTGAAAAGGAAAAAAAAATGAGAGAAGATTGGAAAAAAATGATAAAAACTATCCCTGCACAGTTGAAAATACTTTGTTTAGTACAGTTATAAATGCATGAAGTAACATAGTTTTCATCACTTCCCTTTGAAGATTATTTTCTAGCCTTGCTTACTTCACTGCTAGGGCATACAATTACAGTAAGCCAAAACAACCTCTGTCTTAATTCCATACTACTTGTCCTAGTTCTCCTCCTTCCTTGCTACTCCATAAAGATTAGCGCACATTCAAGGGGAAGGAGGAGACACAGTATTAATAAAATCACGATTTTTAGTAAATACAGTTAAAAGCAATACAGAACAGCCTGAACTCAGAATGAACAAAATCAACAACTCAACAGCCATTTTTATTCACTTACATATATGCTGCTTGTTGTCTTAGACAGATACTGACTGAGTAATAGATACTGCATTTTGCTAATTTACAATGAAATGTGACTTTACACTAAATTTCAGATTTCTTCTGCCTGTCCAGTGGAGTGTGTTATATATGCATCAATGCAAGTAACTGTACCACATATCTTCATTCAGATTCTTAAATTTACTTTTTATTTCAGTGGAAAATGGCAGGTAGTAGTCTTCATGATTAAGCACTTTCTCATGGTTTACTTCAAGCTGGTTTTGGCTGGAATTGGGAATTAACTGAAATGTAAAAAAAGTATTTTAAAATTATACAGTATTAAAGTAAACTGAAAGAAGAGCAAATAGAGAAAAAAGTGCACAAAGCACACCTTTTGTTTAAAATGATAAAAATCTAAAACCAAAATAAACCTCATCCAGCACCAAAGAACTGAAAAGGAAAATATGGCTTCTGATCTGAGATGATCAGAAAACCTCACACAGGTCTTCAGTGCTGCCAACTGCGGTGCCATCATACCCACATTTTAGTCCTCAGGTTGTCAGAGTGACGTTGTGCCTTAGGGAGTCAGGTGATGCAGAACAGGGCTCAATTTAACCAGTGTTCTTCCTGATCTTGGCCAAATATTAAACACCTGGCACAAGTGTGGGAGTGCAAGTGCCTCTTCTCAGGAGAGGATGGATCCTTTTTACATGTCTGTGTAATGTAACTTGTAGGTGCCTGATAAATTGCAGCAGATAGACATGGTGTGAATGTGTATCTACACACACCTAACCTGAGAAACTCACCTCCTGGCTTGAGACCATCCCAAAAACTTAGGTCCAGAAGTTTTCAGTCTCACCTACTTTTAACTGAGAAAATAAAAGGAGAGAACAATTTCCGGGGCTTTTTAATCCCCTTTGGTGTTTCTCAGCACTGAGGGACCCAGTCCTCATACCAAAGAGAAGGAAAAAAAAGCACTTCCCTTGTGGTACAGGACAGGTGAGAGTCCTCAGCTTACATGACATAGCAGCAAAATATTAATCAAATAGCTTCTCCTAAGTTTGACTCTCTCTGGAAGAAAACTTGTAGCTTTTAAATGAATCTGAACCATTTCAGTATAATGTATTAACTTTAGATCTTCGTAAAGCATCTCATGATCTCAAGCTCAATTTCAACTTTAGCTTTATTTCTAAAAAGCAAAATGAACTTAAATTACAATCTGAAGAAGCAGTTTCCTTTTCTAATTTTGAAAGTTATAACTTTTTTATGAACCCTGATAGAGGCCAGCCCCAGGGTACAACAAAAATTCCTTCTGGGAACAAACGGCATGAAAACCATACCAGATGGTGATGACAATTGCCGAGAGCGAGGATACGTGTTATCCTATTTTTTTACATATATGCATTCATTTAATGAGTTTTTCTTTTACTAGACAATTAGCACACAAATATCTTGAAGATGATCAGGCCTTTAGCAGGTGAAGCAGTGCTGCAAGGTGGGCTCCTTTCTGCACCCACCAAAAGGAAGCAAAGGGGACAGCTGAGCCTGGCTGCAGCCTGTGCTGACCTATATTGGTGAAACAAAGCTGCAGGGAGGGAAAGAAGCAGAGAAGGAATCAAAAGAGATGAAACTGGATCAACTGCTTGTGCCTGGACTGGAAATACTCTCATTAGAAGGAACCAAGGGGAAAAATGTGAGCAACCTCTGTCTCTTTCTAAAGTAATTAAACTGCGGGCTGAGGCATTGATAACCTCGAATGCTTCCAAACTGCTTTTCTGCAGATGCCGGTCAGCTCTGACAGTTACTAAGAGTTTCATTGCCACAGGTCTTCTGCCTTGAAACACACCTTTTCTCTCCCAACAAAGGGTTCACAGTGAATTCCCACCAACTGGGACTCAATGGAGTACAGACTGTATGTGAATATAGGTTTGTGCCAGTTTAAAGCTGACTTTTCGGGGTCTTTCTCTGCTCCGAAGGTAACTTCTGGGTGTTTTCATTGCTGTGAGACAGGCATTGATGAATAAATGAATAAATGGCCATTCTAATAGGGAAAAAACCCCCACTTTTCCTGGTTTTTTTCTTTTGCAAAGTGTATTTAAAGAAAAAAGAAAACCACAACATTTTTGTACACTCTGGAAGCTCAGATGATGTATTATAGTGGCAGAAGAATGTTGTTGGTGCTTCTGTTCTGATGTTCTGCAGTCATGTGAAGAAAATGATCAATGCCTTGGTTTTTTAACATTTTCCACAGGAAACACTGCTAGGTTATTTTCTTCTTACAGTGCAGCCAGGAGTAGGAGTCTGTGAGATGGCAGTTTTTCAGGTTGTGCTTGACTGTATTTTACTCTCTTGCTCTTTGATTAATTGATTATGGATAAAACAGCTTCTGCAACAACAAACAGTATCAAGCTCATCACAGAGAGTTATAAAAGAAAAGATACTCACCTCTTTGCCCTGTCTTTCTCATCTTCATCCATTAGATTGTCTAAGCAGTTTTTTCTGTTGAAGGAATGCAAGAATCAGTATGAATTGTCATTTTTTTTAGGTCTATTTGCAGGTTAATCTCACAGTCACTCTATTTCAATTTAATAACACTGTGATGATATCCAGGTCAGATAAATGTGTCAGCAGTGCTCTATGCCACAGTCCTTGATTTTAGGAAATATCCATTGTGGGTAATGTTATTCCTGAACATTATGCTAGCCTTAGGGTCTCCTAGGCAGGGATCAAGGCTCCCAGGCACCACGTGGTGCATCAGCACAGTACAAAAACAGCCACTTCTTGGAGATTTTTTTGTGTGGCAGTTACTCTCTGCAAACTTGTAGGCTGGATGAGCCTGGGGTCTGCTCAAGCTGAAAAACATTTTCATTGCCCCCCATGTTCCCACCAAAACCATCTTTAGTGTACGAGCCAGCATCATTGATGCCTTTGACCTCTCTGCTCTTCCTCCTGGGATGCTCTTCATCCTCCTCTGTGGATCTTGACCCAAAGCCAAACAAGATGTTAATAACTCTACTGAATTACCCCTCAAATTGAAGTGTCCTTATAAATCCCACTGCCTAAGCCATACTAAAAATCCCTCTTGCAGCCCAGTCAGACCACCTGCCCAGCCATGCTGGCACCAAGCATGAGGACTGTCCCATGCCCATCACTTTTTTTGTTAATCTTCCCCAAAATGTTGTGACCTCAGTTTTGTAGTACAATTTCTCCAGCAGGGTGAGCTGTAAGGAGAAAAGGATAAATTGGGTAAATTTGTGTAGGCAAGGCAAAGGGAAAAATACAAAAGCAGCCCAGCTGAAGGCTGAGCGCCTCAGAAACCCTTGTCACTAGCTCACTGCCCACCCTCCTTTGCTCTGTGACCTTATGAGACAGTGATGCTTGATCTGTCACCACTTTGGCCCAAGAAGGAAGCCCTGTGCTGCTGCACCTCTCATGGCATCTGACACCCCTTTTGGCTACAAAATCCATGTGCTGCTGCATCCCACACACTTATTTTCTGAAACAGCAGCACAATGCTACTGGATATTGTCAAAGCCTCATTTTCAAAGCAGAGGTGTAGTGATAGGCAATGATAACACTCTTTTTCAGCAATCAATGTTTCTCATTTAATGAGTCTTCAACATGTAAGACATGAATAAAATTGGAAGGGAGGAGGAAGGAAGTTAATTGCTAGGCTTTATTTAAGCCCATGTTATTTTCCACATATGAGTCACACATAAATTTGCCTGTTTAAAGAACATTTTATGAAAAAACCAAAGTGAAAACTCAACAATAGTAAAACCAGTGCTTCTGTTAGTAGTTCTCTTACAGCAACATTCTACCTGGTCATCACTCAACAGTTAGCTAAGAACACAAAATCCATAACCTTTTATCAAATGAGTTATGAGGAATTAGATCCACTGGTCACTGATTGGGGGGTAAAGCTGCTACTTAATGGCACTCAGCTCTTTGATGAAGGATAAACAGGAAATATGAGGGCCAAGGGACTAGTTTTTTCAGTCATAACTGATGAATTTAAATTGCTGGATTCCCTTACAGAGAAAAACATAACAAATAATACCAAATAGTTTTTAGATTATTTTTCAGGTATTTGTTTTGACTTGCAAAACAGCCACAGTCAGCCATGATTTTTGACTTGCAAGTCAGCCATATCATAATCCATATTTTGGACTAGGAAAATGTATAAGGCCAGCAAAATTCTATTAACCAGTGTTTTACATATATTTTAGGTGTTTATTTCCTTAGTCCCATAATGAAACTGTTATCCCAATCACTATGTTTTCAAGTAATTCAGGCTAAAATGCAATGACAATATTCAATGTGTTTTGTTGTTATTTGCTCATTTATTGCAACCTATGCTATTCAAGAATACAGAGGGCATAGTTTAAATGGCAAGATTAGCATTCAGGATTTTGCAGTGTTTTTTGGCTAAATCTTTGCTCACAATCAGCAGGATGTTAAGGGGTATGAAGGGACCATGAAGATCATCTGGTCCCAATGTGGGAGGACACCTTGCAGTAGACCAGGTTGCTCAAGGCCTTATCCAACCTGGCCTTGAACACTACCAGGGCTGGGACATCCACAACCTCCCTGGGCAACCTGTTCCAGTGTCTCACCACCCTCACAGTGCAGCACAGCACAGCACAGCACAGCACAGCACAGCACAGCACAGCACAGCACAAAATGTTCTGTGGCATGCACACATGTTGAATCTAGGGCATGGCAATGTAAATGGGGCAGCATCACCAGCAGAAGTCGCTCTCCCTGAATCCCTAAAGCTCTTCCTCTGGCTGTAACAGACTCCCAGTAGAAAGCAGGAATACAAGTGTGCTGAGTGGCTGTGAGGAAGGATGGAGGTGGATGAGACAGTCAGTATTGGTGCTGCTCAGCCCCGGCTCTTTTGGAGAGGCACAATGCACCTAATGGAAAGGGGCTTCCTACAGCTGTACCCCATAAACCATCAAGAAGAAATTACACTGCCAGGAAGCCTCTACTCTTGAAAGAGAGCAACAGATCAAACTGGTCTGTTCTGCCAAGGATTTGGCTAGATCTGTAAAGCAATTCATGGCCAGCTTCCAGTAAACAAGGTTTCTGAGTGACTGACATGAAATTCTGGACCTGCTGTGCTGTTGTTAGCATGAGACAATATCTAATTGTCATTTTGCTTCTGTTTGCTCACATGGCAAAATCTCTAGAGCATCATAAGCATTGCTAACAGGGTTTGCTAGTACATATGTACCATATGAAATTAAAACTGTTCTCAACAAAATAGACACATCAGAGTATACAATTGCTGCAAACTAGTAGAGACTCACAGACGCTGCCTTACACCTTGACAGAGACACCCATGTCAAGGAGCTTAGGTATGTGCTCAGTGCACCCTGTTTGCTTTATTTTATTCTCCCAATCCCTCAGCTGTGAAGGTCCCAAACTGCAAACTGGAAACCTACTGTCTCTTGATTTAGGAGAAAATTCTGACTCACTGCATTAATGGAGGCAGGCAGTAAATACCAAGGCTCTGTGCCACAGTTCCCCTGCAAAGAAGTGACATAAAAAAACAAGTGGCACAAGTATTTCTCAAACTGTGAAGAATCCTTTCACAATAAGAAAGGGAATTTGGAAACCTATAGGTAAGAATACCACATGATGTAACTCCTGCTGGCAGAGTATTTAACAGTGACAGTTACATTTGGAGGTTCATTAGTATCATCATTATCATCAAGGAGTGAAGACTATCACTCAAAAAGATGGGAACTACTTGGAACAAGGAGGAGGAAGCTCACGTACTCCCATCAGGGAGGAACTCATACAAACACATGGAAAGACACATATCTACAAGTGGGGAAGAATGGCATTTTGGAAACAAAAGACTGGCTAAAGCTATTAACCATGTACCCCTGGCTTAGTTATCAGATGGAGAATTATAGCACAAACATCTCCCTCACATTCATTCATACAATGAATAGATGCTTGGGAAAGAAGTAATTCAGGCAGAGTGCCAGCTCGCTCCAGGGACTCTCCGGAAGAAAGGTTGCACATGTTTATTTTGATACAGTCTATTCCCACTGGACACAGAGCTTGCACTATAAAAAATCATCTGGCACTGATCACCTTATCCTGTGCTAGAAACATGTTTTTTATTGAGCTAAACTACTACTTTTCTGGGCTGGTGAGGTTGGTTTCACTCCTTCCTGCCCTACTGCTCATAAGGATGTGCTGTAGACACTCAAATGTAGGTAATCAGTTGTTGATTTCCCACCAAGTTGCCTCAAGGCCAGCTAATAGTTTTTACAAATCTGACTGATATTTATCAAGAATTTTTAATAATATTCATTTAACTCAGCTGGATTAAATCAGAGATGTAAATTTCTTTCAGAGGTCCTGAGATGTGCCGAGGGAATATTGGTGAGAAATCACAGTATGTGTGCTTCCCTGGCTCTTATGTCTGGCAGCTCAAGGAAAAGACTGGACTTTTCCTCCTCTTCCCTCTCTAGCCAGGTGGGGTGTTTGCCTCCATCACCCCACAGGTTTGCTTGGGTATTCCACCACTTTTCCTGTACAGGTATGGTCAGCCCTGGGGAGAGGGATGCTCCCACCCACTGCAGACATATCTGAGCCTTACACCTCAGACCTCACCCCCAGACCACTTGGGATGCTGGTACAATACAACCAATCCTAATTAAAGATGATGATATTGCATTGGAGAACAATCCTCTCAAGGATCCCCAAGGGATGGGCAAGGCTTGTATGGAAAACTGGGATATTGGGATGAAACACCTTGAACTATCCTCTGACCTCTGGGAAGACCCTTCCCAACAACTGCTGTGTTGTGAAGGAGGAAGAAACAGAACAACAGGGTAGGCATGCTGCCGTGCCTTCCAGACACATTGTTCAGCCTCAGGGCCCATCTCTGCTCAGCACTGCTCCTGTTCTGCCTCAACAGGGCATCCACTCTCCATCCCCTCTTTGAAGGGGAGGAAATGGCTGTCAGCAAAGAGCTCAGTGTCATACAGGAGGCACACGGGTAAGTTTGGTCGGGCTCAGGATTCAAAGGCCAGATCCAGCCATGCATGGCATCCTGTGCTTAGTGAGTACATATCCAATACACATGAAGAAGGCACCAAAAGAGATTGGAGAGGTTCTAGGCATGATCCAGGGACACAGTTTCTAGGCACTCACTAGCACAGGGGACAGTGTAGCTTGGTCACTGCGCTGGCATCACTGCCAGATCCCCTGCCCAGGGAGGATGAACAAGGTCTGATGGGCACTGTGGTTGGTCAATGGCATCATCCCACGGGTGTTCACAGCGTGGGTTAGATGGGGTTTGCCTGCCCTGGGGAGCACCACTGTGGCTAGGAACTCCACCTGCTGCCCTCAGCTAAGGAGAGCTCTGAAATGAATCACACAAACAAGTGAAGTGTTTCACTTCCAAGCCCTGCTGGAAGGCAAAGAGAAAAATCAGCAAATGGGAAGCAGCAGGAAAGGCCACAGAGTGAGAAGCAAGAAGTGATCATCTGACCATTTTAGGCATCTGGTTTCAAGTTCTGTAACATGGATGAAGCACTCAGATGTCCCACCAGGAAAGGTACAGTGTGAACACACAGCAGAAGGATTTGTACAAACACAAATCAGAACAAATCAACAAATTCACAGACACATCAAACTGAAGTGTACCACTCTATTCTCTTTTCTTCAGATATAAACCTATGAACTGTTACAAGAACATGCTGGGCTCCATAATTAAGTATGACACATTCCTAACCATAGCAATAAAAATTGATTTATCAAAATGAACAGACTAGCCTTTAGAAATCTTAAGATAGTAAAAATTCACTTTCCTGATGATATACATGGTTATTTGAGAAAGATACGTGGCTTTTTACTGGGAGAATGGCAGTCTGGAGTCACCATGGATCATGTTATGCCGAGATTGTTATGAGAATTACTGCTTTCAAGAGTAAAGAAAAAATCCAGAAGCATTGCTAAGTGTCCAGCTTTAGAGTTTTTTCCTGACAGTGTATAGCAAGGTCTTCCTGCATTCAATAGGTTACTACATTTTGCTTATACAAGAGATATTTAGACCCTTCAAAAAAAGAAAAGAAAACTTTTTGAGAAAATACTGGACTTCATGAACCTCATGGACTGTTTCATACATATGTGTACAATGAATCTTTAGATGGTAATAGGCTTAAAGCAAACATATATTAAAAACAATCCACATGTGGACAGTAAAAAGAATAGAATTTGACAGAAATTAATGCTCCCCTCTTCTGAACTGGGGATGACAGGAAGATGGTTATAGATAATAAGAGTTGAGTAGTAAGAGATTATGATGAATAGAAATAAAGACTCAGAGCATATTCTGGTTTTATTCTGTTTGGTGGGAAGGGGTTTTATTTTCCACATGTCAGAACCCTTGCACCCATTGCCATATGTTAGACCATGTTCCCCCTCTGCCTGGTGCCAGCTGGATTTTGGGGTGTGCAGCCTGCAAGCACTCTGTAGATGCGGTATGATTCACATCGGTTTAAGCCAGGGGTGATCCGGCTGACGTCAGCAATGCCGGGCTGGAGCGCGGCCAGGGTGAGAGGCATCTTTCATCTCTGGCTTGTGAGCAATATGTAAAGTTTTGTGCAGTGTTTGGATCTCTGATGAAGATCAGTACATACATGCTCATTATCTTCCTCACTGCTGTTATTACTACTGAATGACTACAGCCATTCAGACTTGAGTG